AGGTCCCCTCCCCCCACTACCGCATCCGCAGCAGGGGGATGGCAGATCCCTTCCCCCCCACTGCTGCACCCGCAGCAGGGGGAGGTAGGAGAAGGATGAGGGGGGGGGGGGGGGGGGGGGGGGGGGTCGGTGCTGCAGATCCCCTCCCGCCTCCCCCTGAACCTCCAAGCTTCCCCCCTCTCCCAACACAAGGTGCGGCAGGGAGAGAGAGAGGAGGAGGCGTGGCGGGAGCTGCTGCTGCTGAGGCGCATCCGCCACCCCCTCACGCCCTCTCCCCGCCGTCCCCATGGAGGGGGGGGAGGGGGGCGGGGGCGGAGCTGCGCGTGCGACTGTAGGGCACGCGAGCAGGAAGAACCCCCTCTTGCCACCCCCTTACCCACCATGTTGCTGCAGGGCACCGGGGTCGCGGTTAGGGACGGCAGGTCGCGAGGAGCCATGGCTAGGGGCGACGGGGCCATGGCTAGGGACTGGGCCGGGCGCTGGGCAGGTACGGGGCTGGGCGCTGGGCTAGGGACGGGGCCAGGCGCTGGGCAGGTACGGGGCCGGGCGCGGGCTAGCTACGGGCCGGGCGCGGGCTAGGTACGGGGCCGGGCGCTGGGCGAGGGACGGGGCCGGGCGCTGGGCTAGGGACAGGGCCGGACGCTGGGCGAGAAATAGGGCTGGGCGCTGGGCAGGAACGGGGCCGGGTGCTGGGCAGGTACGGGGCCGGGCGCTGGGCAGGTACAGGGCCGGGCGCTAAGCGCTGAACTGGGGCCGGGTGCGGGGCTAGGTACGGGGCCGGGCGCAGGGCTAGGTATAGGGCCGGGCGTGGGCTAGGTATGGGGCCGGGCGCTGGGCTAGGAACGGGGCCGGGCGCTGGGCAGGTACGGGGCCGGGCGCTGGGCAGTTACGGAGCCGGGTGCTGGGCAGGTACGGGGCCGGGCGCTGGGCAGGTACAGGGCCGGGCGCTGGGCGCTGAACTGGGGCCGGGCGTGGGGCTAGGTACGGGGCCTGGCGCGGGGCTAGGTACGGGGCCGGGCGCGGGCTAGGTACGGGGCCGGGCGCTGGGCTAGGAACGGGGCCGGGCGCTGGGCAGGTACGGGGCCCGGCGCTGGGCAGTTACGGGGCCGGGCGCTGGGCAGGTACGGGGCCGGGCGCTGGGCAGGTACGGGGCCAGGCGCGGGCTAGGTACGGGGCCGGGCGCTGGGCTAGGAACGGGGCCGGGCGCTGGGCAGGTACGGGGCCGGGCGCTGGGCAGTTACGGGGCCGGGCGCTGGGCAGGTACGGGGCCGGGCGCTGGGCAGGTACGGGGCCGGGCGCTGGGCGCTGAACTGGGGCCGGGCGCGGGCTAGGTACGGGGCCAGGCGCGGGGCTAGGTACGGGGCCGGGCGCTGGGCTAGGATAGGGGACGGGCGCTGGGCAGGTACGGGGCCGGGCGCTGGGCGCTGAAATGGGGCCGGGCGCAGGCTAGGTACAGGGCCGGGCGCGGGGCTAGGAACGGGCCGATCGCGGGCTAGGTACGGGCCAATCGCGGGCTACGTACGGGCCGGGCGTGGGCGAGAGACGGGGCCGGGCGCGGGCTAGGTACGGGCCGGTCGCGGGCTAGGTACGGGCCGGTCGCGGGCTAGGTACGGGCCGATCGCGGGCTAGGTACTGGCCGGGCGCGGGGCTAGGAATGGGGCCGGGCGACGGGGCCAACGGGGCCGTGAGCGATGGGGCCTAGGGGCCGAGCCTAGGGGCTAGGGGCGACGCCAAGGGGCGACGAGCCGGGGCCTAGGCTAGCAGGGCATTAGGTGGTGGGCCCATTAATGTGAGGTCCTAGGAACGACCTACTCTGATAGCATGTTAGAATAGTAGCTTGACTTAGGAAACTAGGTGCATTACTTAGGAGGCTTAGGAGCCATGAGTGTCGAGAGAGTTGAGTGTCGAGGGGAGAGTCGAGAAGGAGAAGAATGAGGAAAAGTGGAATGGAATTATTTCACTAGCAAGAGTTGGGATACAAATAGCAAACCCTAAATTGGGTTGTACTCACTACAGAGTACCCCACTGTAGGCTAGACAGCAAATACATTCTGACATCCACCGCCCGAGCGCGCCTGGCAGAAGGTTACCATGGATTTCGTCACGGGGTTACCTTCAAACCCTGGGGGTATCGACGCGGTTATGGTCGTCATTGACAGATTGACGAAAATGGCTCACTTCGCTGCGTGCAAGAAATCGATCTCAGCCGAAGAAACCGCTCGCCTGTTCATCGTAGCCGTTGTTCGACTGCACGGGATACTAGCTGCGATAATCAGCGACCGTGACACGAAGTTTACCAGCAAATTCTGGAAGAACCTCTGGGAGCAGTTCGGGACTAGGCTACAGTTCAGTTCATCGTACCACCCCGAGACCGACGGTCAAACGGAGCAGACCAATCAGACGATGGAGCAGTTGATTCGGGCCACGTGCGACGACCCGACAACTTGGGAGCAGCAGCTGCCGCTGATCGAGTTCGCCTACAACAACGCCACGTCAGCGACGACGCAGCAGTCCCCATTTTACATGAACTACGGGCAAAACCCAACAATGCCCATGATGCCGAGTCCGGACAACCCAACGCCACGAGCACAGCAATTCGTGGAGATTCTGCAAGCTGCCCGCACCAGAGTCGCAGAAGCAATTAAAAAAGCCAACGTCATCGCTAAACGCAACGCTGACCGCCACCGCCGCCCAGTCACGTATCAGTCAGGGGATTACGTACTGCTCGACACACAGAACTTAAGACTGCCCGTCGTACCGAAATTACGACCGCGCTACTGTGGACCATTTCAAATCAGCCACATGATCACCACAGTTACCGCCCACTTACTCTTGCCGACAGTTTGGTATATCAGCCTATCATTCCACGTCAGCCTGCTTCGCCCTTACATCCCAAGCACGAGCCAACTGCCTTGTCACCGCCCGCCATCCATGACTCGCTCTGCATCGGAGCCGACCATCGAGCCCGAAAAAAATCTGAGCCATCGGATTTGCCACCCCACAGGCATCAAGAGGATTGAGTTCCTCGTTCGCTGGAAGGACCGCACGCCAACTGAGGATAGCCGGGTGCCGCTGGCCAACATTGAAAACCACCCTGCCCTGCAAATGTACCTGAGGAGCCGGGGTTTCCGCGATATACACGCACTTGCATAGCGGAGGGGGCTTCTTGAGGGGAGGGGTAGTGTAAGGAATTTTCTCGCCATTCCTTACCGCGACCGTCCACATCGCGTACATCAGCATCCGTTGTTCGCCCGTTACTGCTTATGGGGCTTCGCCAACTTCGCGCGCACTGTTTCACCAAACATCGCACTACTGGAGCAGCCGAGTCGGCCTACGCTTCGGGACTAGCCCGAACCTCGCGCCAGCGTAGCACTAGCTAGCTCGCACGCACGTACCGCGTTACCGTTTGCACATTTTCGCGTAATAAGTATTCGCTCATGCCTTCGCTCATACTTTGTACTCATTGAACACTCTAGTGCAATCCTCGCTACCTCGATTCATTGCACCCGTAACAAACAGCTTTGTGTGAAGGGTATGTATCTAAATGTAAAATTTGGAAATTCTAACAGTTTCTGACTCAACCAGCTGTACACTGCAAAACGTAACCATATTATATATGAATCAGTTCCTATCGGACACATTCGAGATGGAATGAATTCGGCCAGCGGATCTGACAACCAAAGGCGCGAAAGTTCTTGTGGGTGCAGTACTGTTCAGACAACCTCGCAGCGTTTTCGCTATTCGTTACGGCCACCACATTCGCTTCGCAGTTCCCCTTTTTCCTGGTGGGGATTATTTTCGCGAGCGCAACATAGTTTCCTCGTCCAGCACCAGATTGCCCAGGCTGACGCAACGGACGTAACCAGACGGATCTGCCATTTCGCTGGCTGCACCTACTCAGATGCTCCTTTGGGATTGTTGTCCATCCACCAATCTCGAGAGACAGGAACCAAGCGCCTGTGCTGCTAGAGTAGCAGGAATGCATACACTAGCTCTCACTTTTATTACCAGTGAAAGCATCAGAATAGTATCTGGCTAGTTACCATTGATTGCATGCTACGCTGCGGGGGGGGGGGGAAACGCGCGACTTTTGGTAGTTCAATTCAGCTTACCTGCCTCAATAGTCCAGGTCGCGGTGCATATGCCGGTCTAATTCACCGATTTTTACGGTGTGATGGTGTGACATGGTTGTCGGCTAAGGATGGATCGCAGGGAGTTCATGACCGCCGGGAAGAAGCGGGTAATGAGACTTTCAGAATCACACTGCTTCGAAGGTCGTTATTACACCAATTTCCAGTGATTCAGTTTCGTCGTATCTAAATGCTTCGTGAAGCCTTATGGACTATCAATGCTTTGTCGTATATTCACATCGAGCCGTGCTTGCCATTGTTATTGTACGAGCAGCTCGAGGAGTATCGGAAGAAGCAACAAGCGAAATCGGGAGGAAGCTCTAAAGGAGGACAGCAAGACAAGGTGATCATGCTGTCTTCGAAATCCTTCGTTTCCCTATCTAGTCTCGGACGAAATCCACCATCAGCTTTAAAAACTTTTCACGTGTAGCTCATTCGGTTTCCAGCAGATTCGTTGACATCCTCGACCATGTTTCTGCCGATGCTGTTAGACTTACCACCGAGCCAGTTCTCGGACTTTGTGAATCCATTCTTCACGTAATTTCTGCTCAGAAAGCGTCAGTTTCCCCCCTTGACGAGCTCTCTCTACCGGCGTATCCTGTACCCCTTCTTCCCGCCGTCCATCTCGCAGGCCAAGATGCCATCAACGGCTCCCACGACTCCGCAGGGGTCATCCAATCAGAGCGCAGCACGGCAATCCCAAGGAGGCCAGGCTTCAAGCAGCACAAGCGACCTCCCGCAGCTGGGCCTGAGCGTGCAGATCCAACCCCGAGGCTCCACCACCGCCCAACCCAGAAATTCCACTCCAATCCAACCCCGAGATTCGCTCCAAAGCCAGCCTAGAGAATCCACAGGCGAGTCTGCAACCTCAATGGTGTCGGCAGCATCCGCAGTAATGGCAGAGTCGGCAGATTCAGCAGGGACGGCCGTGGGGAGGACGATCAGCAGCAGCAGTGGCGGCGGGGACGGCGATTTCATGACGCCCACAGGCGGCAACACGCCGTCCAGCGCCACCAGCTACGGCTCAGATTCCTCCTCGGGGGGCTTTGTGCTGCGGCCCTTCGCTGCTGGGCCTCGGGAGTTCCGCACCATCGCCCAGGGCATTCTGAATAAGGTGAGGAGTTTGTTGTGGGAATGGTTTGTGCTTTAGATCTTACCGGTAGGGGATGGTAAGGTGATGAAGCCAGGTAAAGTCTAGGCGGGAATTGAAGGATCGAGAATGGAGGATGGAGGGGATGGTGGTAGAGAAGAGAAGAGGAGGGAAGTGAGAAGTTGAGAGCGGGGGGGGAAGTGCGCTTTGGAGGACGGAAGGCTGTGCCAGCTCCTTCTGAGAGGCCTGCCTGACAACTGACAACCCGCCTCTGCCACCCACCCTGCCAATGCTCCACTCCAACTCGCATGGCAGGGTTCGGGAACCGCAGGGCAGGGCGCACGAGGGCAGGAAGCGCAAGGAGAGGAGGCAGGAAGGCAGAGAGCAGATGGAGAGGGATCAGAAACGCAGAGAGCTTCAGGGGCGGGAGCACGAGGGCAGGGAGGAGCAGAGGAGTTGCGGAGACCAGCCACAGCACAGCCGCATGAGACACATGATCCTCGCGAGAGAGAGCAGGATGCAGGCTCTCCCAGCCACTCCACTCGGCCAACTACCGCCCCGCTTTCCCGAAGCCCCTCCACCTCTTCCCTCACCTCCTCCGTCCCTTGGTCTGCCAGCGGCGCCCTGGATAGCTCATTCGCTGCTGGCATGAGGCGGTTCTCACTTGAGACGGGGAGCGATGATGGGTCGCTGACAGAGCGAGGGTCGGTGGTAACCACCACGAGGGAGAAGTATGTGGAGAGGTTGGAGTTGAAGGTGGTTGAGCTGAAGCGACGGCTGTCTGTTGTGATGGAGGAGCGGGAGAGAGGCGGCTCTGGTTTCGCTGGTGGTGCTGCTGGTTCGGGCGCTGCTGGTTTAGGTGGTGGCGGTGGTAGTGGCGGAGGTGGTGCTGGGTTGAGTGGGATGTGGAGGAGTACTAGTGGAGGGGAGGTGCTGTTGAGAGAGGAGCTCAGGAAGAAGGCCAGTAGAGTGCATGCTTTGGAAAGGGAGCTAGCAACGCTCAAGAGCCTGGTTGGGCTGGATCCGGGGGAGGCTGTATCTAAGGCTGCGGCGTATGGTGCTGCTGGCGGCGTGGGTGGGGATATGGGGAGGAAATCTAGAAGCGTTGATGCCAGATTTGTTGATTTGATAGAGCGGCACGGAGCAGAGGTTGCTGAGCTAAAAAAGTTACTTAAGGAAAAGGAGGAGCGGCTGGTGTTTTTGGAAAGGGACAGGGAGGAGGTGATGGAGCGAGTAGCAGCACAGGTGCAGGCAGAGAAACGGACGGAGACAGAACGGCTGGCGAAAATGCAGGCGGAAATGGAAGCAGCTGCTGAGCAGTTGAAGCGGCAGGTGGCATCTGCCATGGCTCGATGGAAGGGGTTGGAGGAGGAGAAGGGGCGGTTAGCGGACCAGTTGCTTGAAAAGGAGGTGGTTTTAGAGGGGGAGCGGGAGCGGAATGTGAGGGTTGGGGAGGAGTTGGCAGTGGTTCGGGGGCAGTATGAGACAATGATGGAGACTGTAGCAGCTCTGCAGGAGGAGAGGGGGAAACAGGCAAGGGAGACGCAGGGTTTGAGAGAGGAGACGCAGAGCCTAAGGGAGGAGTGTGAGAGAGTGAGGGAGGAGAGGGTGGGGCTTGAAGAGGAGCTGGAGAGGTTAAGGGAGGAGGTGCAAAGGCGGCGGAAGAGTGACATTGCAGCGGCCCTGGAAACTGGGGGCAGGGCCGAGGGTTCTGGGGGTGATGAGAGAAGGGTGAGTGTGGGAGGGGCAGTCAGGGGAAAGGTGGGTGTGTGCGAAGTACTCTAATTTCACCTCGTTTGCCATGTTATCAAGTGAATTTCAAATGAGCAAAAGGAATTACAGTGTGAGCTGTTTCATCTCGTTTGCTCCCACTGTCTGCGTCCTTTCCTTCGCTCCCTGCACTCCACCCACCAGGTGAACCTGAGTGGCGAGCAGCGCGAGCTACTAGAGGAAGAGCTGGTGCAGCTGCAGGAGCTGCTAGCCCAGTCCCGAGACGAGGAGGGACAGAGGACCAAGGTGCAAGGAGAACAAACGGCATTCTCCTTCCTGCGTACCCTTCCTTTTTGTTGCTCTCTATTCAACAGGTGAACCTAAGTGGGGAGCAGCGGGAGCTGCTAGAGGAAGAGCTGGTGCAGCTGCAGGAGCTGCTCGCACGGTCGCGAGACGAGGAGGAGAGGCTTCGAGCCAAGCTACAGGGCGACGAGCAGCAGTGGCAGCAGCAGCTGCGGGATTCAGCAGCCGCTCTGGCAGCCAAGGAGGAGGAAGCTAGGGTTCTGCTCTCGCGTGTGGAGGAGGGGGAGAGGGAGAGGGAGAGGCTTCGAGCTGAGGCGGATGCGGCTAGGCTTGAGGCGGCGAGTGCTAATGAGAAGCTGGCTGCAACGAAGGATAAGCTGGGAGTGGCGATTAGGAAGGGGAAGGAGGTGGTGCAGCAGAGAGAGGTGCTGAAAGGGACACTGGCTGAAGAGACTGCTGTGCTGGAACGGTTGAGGGAGGAGCTGGAGCGAGAGAGGGAGGGGAGGAGGGATGCGTTGAAGGCTGTGGAGGCGAAGGAAGGGGAACTGGCAGAGGGGAGGCGTAGGGTGGGTGAACTGGAGGGTGAATTGGAGGAAGGGAGGAAGAAGGTGGAGGAGTTGGAGGCAGCAGTTGCTGCAGCTGAGGGGAAGGCTGCAGGGATGGTGGAGGAAGGCGGGGAGAAGGTCAGGGAGATGGAGGAGAGAGTGAGGGAGGCGGAAGAGAGGGTACGGATAGCTGAAGAGGAGGTGGGTGAGGTGAGAAGGCAGGTGGCGGATGGGAGGGAGCGTGCTGTGGAGCTTCTAGGGCAAGTGGCGGAGAGAGATGCGCTCTTGGCGAGGAGAGGGGAGGAGTTGAGGGAGGTGGAGGGACGAGAGAGGGAACTAGAGAGAAGGGTTGCGGAGGAGATGGAGAGGAGGATTGAGGAGGGGAGGGAGGAGGGGAGGAGGGAAGTGGAGAGGGAGGTGGGGATGTGGGAGGGTAGGGTTGAGGAGGAGAGGAGTAAGGCGGAAGATGCTCTGAAAGAGGTGGAGCGTTTGTCAAAGGAGGTGGAGACGTTACAGGAGAGGGTTGCAGAGACAGAGGGGCAGCTGGCTGCTTTGCAGACCGAACTTGCTGCAGTGAAGGGGGAGGTAGGGGAGAAGGAGGGGGTGGTTTCAGGTTTGGAGGTGAGCTTGAGCGGGGAGAGGGAGAGAGTGAGACAGCTGGAGGAGATGGTGGAGACGCTGAGAGGGGAGGTTCAGGAGGCTCAAAAGGCAGGTGGTTCAGAAGCAGACGCGAGAGAAAGGGCGAGGGAAAGGGAGAGTGTGCTGACTCGAGAGTTGGAGTCGTTGCAAGCACAAAAAGAGGCGCTGGTGGGTGCTGTAGAGGATGAGAGGGCGATGAGGGAAGAGGCGGAGGAGGCTAAGAGGAGGGTGGAAGGAGAGAAGGCAGAGGTGGAGGAGAAGAAGGGGGAGCTTGAGGCTAGAGTAGAGGATTTACAGGTGAAGCTTGATGAGATGAGCTTACAGGTCAAGGGCTGGGAGGAGCAAGTGGAGGGGCTTAAAGCTGAAGTTGTGGGTTGGGAGGAGAGGTTGGCTGATCGGGAGCGGGAGTTTGCAGGTTCGGCTGCCGAAGCTGAGGTGCGGTTGGAAGAGGTTCGGCAGGAGCTGGAGGGGATGAGAGGGAGGGAGAGGGAGTGGGAAGGGAGGGTTGGGGTGGTGGAGGAGAGGGTGAGGGAGGGTGAGAGAGCGTTGCTGGAGAGTGAGAGGCTGCTGCAGGAGGAGAGGGAGAAGGGGGAGGGGCTTCAGAGGGAGCTTCAAGAGACGGAGGTGAGAGCAAATGAGGCTGAAGAACGGGTGAAGGAGGCTGAAGCAAGAGTTGAGGAGGCTGAGAGGAGGAGGAAGGAGGAAGAAGCTAGATCGAGTGAGCTGTTGCTGCAAGTGGAGGCGAGGAGAGAGAGTGAGGCGAGTGAGGGGAGGGGTGGTGAGAGTGAGGTTGAGTCATGGAGGGCTGAGTGGAAGGCGGAAGAGGCGTTGCTGCTGCAGAAACAGGCTGAGATCGAGGGGCTTTTGTTGGCTAAGGGACGTGAATTTCTGGAGCTGAAAGGTGAGTGGGAGAAGGAGAGGGATGCGTGGGCAACCGAGAGGGGTGACTGGGAGAGAAAGGCGAAGGGATGGGCGATGGAGAAGGAGGATTTGCTTGGAAGGCTGCAGGGGGAGCGGGAGAAATGGGAGGAGGAGCAGGGGAGGATGGAGGAGAGTGAGGGGCAGCTACAGGAGCAGGTGGAGGCAGAGAGAAGGAAAGTGGCTGGGTTGAGAGAGGAGAGGGAGCAGCTTCGGAAGAGGGTGGAGGGGTTGGAGGAGGAGGTGGGGCAGGTGCAGGAACAGGTGGAAGCAGAGAGGCGAAAGGTGGAGGAGTTGAGAGGGAGTTTGGAGGAGGAGGAGAGGCGGTGTGGGGAGATGCTGGTTGAGTTGCAGGCAGCGACAGAGGGGAGGGAGGAGGAGAGGAGGCAAGCGGCGGGGCTGACAGAAGAGAAGGAGTTGCTGCAAAAGAAGGTGGAGGGTTTGGAGGAGGAAGTGAAGCAGGTGCCGAGGAAGATGGTGGAGGTGGAGGAGGAGAAGGGGCAGCTACAGCAGAGGGTGGAGGGGTTGGAGGAAGAGGTGGAGCAGCTGGAGCAGAAGGTACAGGCTGCAGAGCGGAAGGACGTGGTCACACTCGTGAGTCCTCTGCACATTGGATGCTCTTGGCAATTTGTGTGGCAGTCTCCTTTATGTGCCTCTTATCCATTGTAGAACCATCTCTACTGCTTCTCTATGTGACCCACTTGCAGTTTCTCTTCACCCCCACACTTGTTTTGGTACTCCGTGTCCCATTTCCTTCTGGGTTGTTCCTGAGTGCTTGTTTCACACTTTCGTCTCCCCTTCCTCCAGGCGAAGGTAGTTGCCAGCGAGACAGCCGCAGAGGAAGCAACCAAGCAGCTTCAATCAGTCCAGGCCGCCCTCGAGGCAAAGCAAGCTGAGATGGCCTCTCTTCAACAGCAAGCAGAGGAGCTGGAGGAAACCCTAGAGCAGCGCGAGGCAGAGCTCGAGTCCCTAAAAACAGACATCTCGGCGCGAGAGATGATCTGGCATGCATCGCAAGATGCAGAGGCACAAGCAGCAGAGGATGCTATTGCTGTGGAAGCGGCTGCTGCTAGGGAGATGGCGGAGAGAGAAAGGGATAAGGTGAAGGAGGAAGCAGAGGCGGAAGTAGCGGCTTTGAGGAAGGTTCTGGGAATGCGGGAGTCGCAGCTGGAGAAGCTGCAGGCTCGGGTGGCCGAGGCTGAGGAGGTGGTTCGGGAAAAGGAGGAGGTTCAGGCGGAGCTGGTGCAGGCTCGGGCTGAGTTGGAGGGGCTTCGGGTGGAGCTTGAGAAAGCTCGAGGGGAGGTGGTTAGGGTTAGGGAGGAGATGGGGGAGGAGATGGAGGGAGTGAGGGAGAGTAGTGTGAGAACAGATGAGGAGGTGGAGAAGCTTAGGGCTGCGTTGGAGGGGTATAGAGAGGAGGTGGAGGAGGGAGAGAAAAAGGTGAGTGAGTGTGAGAAGAGGCTAGAAGAGAGTGAGAAAGAGAGGAGGGCCGCTCTGGAGAAAATGGATTCGTTGCTTGGAGAGCTGATGGAGAAGAGTGAGGAGAATGAGAGGGTGAGAGAGGAGGGCGTTAGGCTGAAAGAGGAGGCCAGCCGGTTGAGTGAGGTGGCTAGTAGACTGGAAGAAGATATGAAAAGGCGTGAAGAGGATATTAGTAGGCTGAAAGAGGAGGCTTTGAGGGGAAGTGGAAGCACAGGAGCTGATGGGGAGAGGGAGCGACTGGAGGAGGAGGTAGAGCGGCTTACGAGGGAGGTGGAGCAGAAGGGAGCGTTGCAGAAGGCCGCTGAAGACGCAAGGACAGCAGCAGAGGCGAAGAACGCGAGTCTGGTGAAAAAGGCTAAAGAGAGAATCGAAGGCATGAAGCAGAAGGTTGCAGTGGAGGCACAGGCTGCTGCAGACGCGAGAGCCGAGGTTGACCGACTGAAGAAGCTTCTAGAAAGGGGAGATAGGGGAGGGGGTGGAGGAGAGGGAGGAGAGGGAGGAGAGGGAGGAGAGGGTGGAGAGGTTGGAGAGGATGGGGCAGGGGAGAAAGGAGCAGAGGCGAAGGCATCAAATGTTGAAGACGCGGCCGAGATAGAGAGGCTTCGCGCTAAGGTATCTCGCCTGGAAACAGAGCTTTCTCAGTTGAAGCAAGGGGTGGGGAACGGGGCAGGAGCAGGGGGAGAAGGAGCAGCAGGGGCGGCAGCAGGGGCGTCAGCAGAGGCAGCAGCAGAGGGGGAGCGGGTGAGGGAGTCACTGAAGCAGGCACAGGAGCAGGTGGCGGGAGTGCGGGAGAAGCTGAGCAAGGCTGTGCGCAAGGGCAAAGCGATCGAGCAGCAGAAGCTGAAGCTTGAGGCAGATCTCGCTGCTGCCAGAGCTGAGATTGACGCTCTCAAGGCGAGCACTGGGACAGGCGCAGGGACAGATGCAGGGACAAGGGTAGGAACAGGGGTAGGGGCTGCAGTAGCAGCAGCGGCAGGGGCAGGGGCAGCGGCATTGGCAGGCGGAGGTGTAGCAGCAGGGGAGCAGGTAGAAGAGCTAAGAGGATTATTGGCAGAGGCAGAAGAGGCGAGGAGGAAGGAGGGAGAGGCGAGGCAGAGAGAGGAGGAGGCGAAGAGGAAAGAGGAGGAGGCGAGGAGGAAGGCTGAGGAGAGGCTGAAAGAGACAGTGGCAATGATGGAAGGAGTGACAGATGCTCTTGCGGGGAGAGAGAAGGAGTGTGAGGAGCTAAGTAACGAACTTACTGAGCTAAGAAAGTCTCTTAGTAGCGCTCAGGAGGAGGTTGCTAGGCTGATGGGGGAGGTGGATAGGTTGGAGGAGGAGGGTGAGAGGGAGAGGGCGGAGGCAGAGGAGAGATTGGAGAAGTTGAAACGGGAGAGTGAAGAGATGGAGAGCTTTAAGAGTGCGAAAATAGCAGAGGTGGAAGAGATGTTGGCTATAGTTGAAACGGATCTTGCTGTAGCGAGGCGGAGAGTTGAGGAGCTGGAGGGGGAGAAAGGGGAGGTGGAGAAGGGGAGGGAGGCGAGGGAGAGGCGAGTGAGGGAGTTTGAGGAGGAGGTGGGGAGGCTGGGGGAGGAGGGGAGGGGATTGGGGTTGGAGATAGAGAGATTGAGGGAGGAAGTGAGGGAGTGGAAGGGAGTGGCTGAGGAGAGGGGTAAGGATTTGGAGGGTATGAGGAGGGAAGTGGAGGAGGCGAGAGAAGAGAGGGAGGAGAGAGGGAAGGTATTGGTGGGACTGGAGGAGAGAGTGAGGGAGTTGCAAGGGGAGTTGGAGGAGGAGAGAAGGAGGCAGGTGGAAGGAGAGGTGAAGAGATTGGAAGAGGAGAGGAGGAGGGAGGAGGAGGAGAAAGGAAAGAGTGGAGGTGAGGGGGAGGAAGAAATCGGAGAGGCACAGGCACAGTTGATGGAGAAAGAGGAGCGGTTGAGAACGGTTGAGGAGCAGTTGATGGAGGTTCAGTCCCAGCTTGCAACGGTTGAAGAGCGGTTGGTGGCGGTACAGGGAGAGAAGGAAGCAGCAGAGGAGAGAATTCAAGGGCTGGAGGCAGAGAGAGGCGTGGGGGAAGAGAGAATATCTGCACTAGAGGATGAGAAGGCAGGTGTGGTAAGGGAGTTAGAGCAGGAGAGGGAGAGAAGAGAGGAAGTTGATAGGAAATTGGTGGAGTTACAGAGGGGGCTAGACGAGGAGAGGGAGGCAAGGATGGAGCTGGAAGCTGAGCTGGATGGTTTGCGTTCTGAGCTGGCAAGTGCTCGTGATGAGCTGGCGAGTCTCCCTTCTGAGCTGGCAGTGGCTGGCCGTGAGGAGCAGAGGAAGGATGAAGGTGAGACAGGAGGAGGCAGTGGGGAGGATGTTGATGCAGTTGCTTTGAGAGAGAGAGTGAGGGAGCTGGAGGAGAGAGTGAGGGAGGAGGAGAAGAGAGTGAAGGAGGAGGGGGAGAGAGTGAGATTGCAGGAGGAAAGAGTGAGGGAGAAGGAGGAGAGGGTGAAGGAGGAGGTGGAGAGAGTGAGGGAGGAGGCGGAGAGAGTGAGAGAGCAGGCGGAGAGAGTGAGGGAGTTGGAAATGAAGGTGGCAAAATTGGAAGGTGAACTAGCAAAGCTGCAGTTACAGCTAGAAAAGGAAAGGGGGGAACAGAATGTTACCAAGGAACAGCTGCAGGCGGATAACGAACGAGCTTGTAACGAGGCCGAGGAGCAAGGGAAGCAGGTATCCCAACTGAGGGCTGCTCTCTTGGAACTTGAGAGAGAGAGGGATGCGTGGGCGGTTGAAAGAGATGCTCTTGTAGCAGCAGAGCGGCAGGTGCAGGAAGAGAAGCGGGGTTTGGAGGAGCAGGGAGCGGTGCTGAGAGGTCGGATTCAGGAGGTGGAGGCAGAGAGGGATGGGTTGCAGGCTGCTGTTGGGCGCCTGGAGGGAGAGAAGGGGGGGTTACAGGAAGCAGTGGAGCGGTTGGAAGGGGAGAGGGAGCGACTGGAAGGGGATAAGGCTGGTTTAGTGGTGGAAGTTTCTCGTTTAGAAGCGGAGAAGGAGGGAGTTGAGAGTGAGAGAGAGCGGTTGAGAGAGGAATTCGAGGAAGAGAGGATGAGAGGGGAGAGTGCGAGGGAGGAGGGTGAGGAGAGGGGGAGGAGGGTAGCTGAGCTGGAAAAAGTGGTCGAGGTTATGAGAGGTGAGATGGACGAGATGAGGAGGGAGATGGAGAAGCAGGCGAGGGAAAGGAAGGAGGGGGAGGAGGTGGGTAGGGATGAAGCGGATAAGGATGAGAAGGAGAGGAGATTAGATGATTTGGAGCGAGCTTTGCAAGAGAGGGAAGGAGAGGTAGAGAGACTGGTGAAGGAGGTGCGGGTAAAGGAGCTGACCATTGAGGAGCTGACCATTGAGGAGTTGACCATCGAGGAGTTGAGAGGTCAAGTTGTGGAGAGGGAGGGGGAGCTTGCGAGGCTGAGGGAAGAGGTGAGGGAGAAGGAATTGATGATGGAGGAGTTGAGAGTGCAAGTCGGGGAGAGGGAGGGGGAGATTGAGAGGTTGAGGAGTGAGGTTGGGGAGAGGGAAGGGGAGGTAGAAAGGCTGAGGCGGGAGGTGGGGGAGAAGGAGGCAGCAGTGGCGTCGGTGGCAGCGGCACGGAGCAAGGCAGTGGAGAAGCTGAAGATGATGGTTGATAAGCTCAAGGAGGTGCAAGCGCAGGTGGGTTATAGGAAATTGGGTTGCTCCAACTTGACTGACGGTCTTCATTTATTTGTGGGCACGTTGTAGAGAGGGATAGGAAATACAGGTTCTGTTGACCCAGGGGGGCCAATGGTGCAGGATTTTCTTTCCATCTTATAAGTAATGTGGTTACTACTGAAACTTAAGAAGGGCAATGAGAATAATTACCCATTTCATTGCCTGTGGCCTTATCCCTGAATTTTTGTCCCTTCCTACCCTCCCTGCCCGTATCCCTTCGGTATCCATTCCTTCTCACCCCATCCCTTTCCCTGTAAGCACAGTCGGAGGCAGTGGTGCAGGAAGCAGAGATGCGATTGGAGGAGAAGGACAGGGACATGGAGGAGCGGCTGAGGGAGAAGGATGCGGAGCTGCAGGGGGTGTGGGACCGTCTAAGATTGGTCGAGGCTCAATCGGGAGGGGTGGCAGACGGCAGTGCTCCTGCCCCTGCAACCGCTGCTGTTTCTGGTTTCTCTGGTGATCAGGCAGACGCAGCTGCTGCTACTGGAGCTGTTGCTGGGGCTGATGCTGGCGTTCGCAGTGCTGCTGCTGCAGGTGGTGAGGGGGAGAGCATGGCAAGTGGTGCAGTAGCCATGTGGCAGGAAGCTCTTTCTTTGGCGCCGCAGCAGCAGAAATCTGAGGCAGGCGCTGCTGCTGGTCTTCCTGACGTGGCAGAGAAGGATGCTGAGCTGGCAAGGCTGCGCGATGAGGTGGCGGTGGCGGGCGAGGCGGTGAGGGTGCTGGAGGGACAACTGGAGTCTGCGAGAAGAGAGGCAGACGACCTGGTGAGAGCACAAGGAGGGTGGAAAGTGGTGGGAAGGGGGGTTGGTGGTTGGGTTGAAGAGAGTTTGGATGGGAAGTGGGCAGGGAGGGTGCTGTTTTGGCAACTGGAGGCAGCAAGGAGAGAGGCAGACGACCTGGTGAGAGCACAAGGGGGGTGGGTGGAGCGTGGGTTGGTTGATCGGGCTTGTGGGGTTGTGTGATAGGGAGTGGTGAGATGGTGAGGCAGCTGGAGGGGCAGCTGGAGGTGGCAACGAGAGGTGTAGATGACTTGGTGAGAGCGCAAGATTGCTGCTCTTGAAATTGCCTCCAATCCTTTTTTTTTTCCCCTTGACGTCATATTTTTTTCTTTTTACACCGTGTCTTTTCACCCCCTTACACCGTTCCCTTCTCAGAGGCCTCTCCTCCCGGTCCTCATCGGCCTTCATCCACTCTGCTGCCAGTCACCACATAAACAAGAGCCAAACCTGGGTTCATATCTGCTCTTTTTGTGACTTATCTTTCCCTCGTGTTTCCATGCACCCCCATCTCCCCTCCCTTATCAGAAGCGCAAGGCAGTTCCCTCACCCCTGCCCTCTTCCTCCTCCTCCTCAGCATTAGCCTCAGCGTCAGCCTCCACGCTCCTGCCAGTCACCACACAGAGGAAGGCAGCACCTGGGGGAGGTGCATCTGACACGTCAGCAGAGTACCTGCCTCTGCTGGCGCAGCAGCTCGCCACGTCATCGTCCGCCTCGCTGGCAGGCCACACAGCGCTGCAGATTGCTGACTCATACCCCGACGATGAAGGTGGGATGTACAGTTTGACACCAAACAGACTTGTGCTGGAGTGTTGTACTTGCTTCGCAACAGCTTTCTCTCTTCCTCTCTCGTGTTTACACTGGAATTTTTCCCACAATCTGCCCTGTCCCCCTCACTGCAGTGCACGGATCCAAGTCAATAGTCAGTGCCTTCCGATTCCTCACACTCTCTATTCCCCTGCCTCTCCTCCCCTCCATCCTCTCCCCCGCCCCTCCACCCCCCCCCCCCCACCACCATCACAGTGCACGGATTCAAGTCAATCGTCAGTGCCTTCCGCTTCCTGCCATCCTTCCTGCACCCAGCTGCCAAGGGCATTGATCGCCTATGGTACGTGCCTGCTTGCTGCTGCCAGCCATCCATGCTTCCATGCCGCATCTGCCCCTTCCTCCTGGCACTGGATTCATTCCTGCCCTTCACTACCCCGCCCTCCTCTGCCCCCCTCTCCCCTCCCCTGTCCTCCCCATTCGTTTCCCCCCCTTTCCTGTCGTTCAGTGTGGCGGGAAGGCAGTCGCTGATGGCACGGCCCATGATGCGCCTGCTGCTCGTGCTCTACTGGATGGCCATGCATGCTGCCCCTCCCTCCCCTCTCATATTTTTCCCCCTTCCTCCCCCCCCCCGCCCTCGCTCGCCCCTGCACCAGTGTGGCGGGAGGGCAGTCGCTGATGGCACGGCCCATGATGAGGCTGCTGCTCGTGCTCTACTGGATGGCCATGCATGCTGCCATGCTCGCCATGCTGGCCGCCCTCACTGTTGCTTGAGGAGGAACACATGTGTCATGGACATCATGCATCATGCACGATACGTCATGCGCGATACGTCATACATCATATGCACTGCATGTGCGATTGAATATTTGCTTGCAAGGAGCATTTAACCATTTTTTTTGCTGGACCAAAGAGTTGTCTCACATTTTTTCTGCAGGCCGTCGCTACCCTACACTTATAGCATATCATATCTCTGATATGACTAGTTGTTGATAGAAACAAATAGTGTGGCAACTTCAGAATTCATTATTTCTTTGGCTAATGCGCATTCGCCAATCATCAGAGCTCACAGGTCATTCCATGTTATGACCTTAAACAAATCACCAACAAGCCATCATGCCTCTTGCTGAATTGTCCTCCCCTTTGCCCTATCCGATCCCACCCAGCATTGACATCTGAATCAGCACAGTAAGTGCACTGTGGGCTGGTGATTCATGGACGGGTGAGGGAGGAGGAAGGCGGAGTGAGTGAGGAGGAAGGTGGTGTGAGGGAGGAGGAAGGTGGTGTGAGGGAGGAGGAAGGAGGAGTGAGGGAGGAGGAGAGAGACGAGGCAACAGCATCCTCCACGTGAATCCCACACTCTGTCTTGTCCGACCCGTCTCTGTTCTTCAGCCCCTGGAACCGCCCCGACCGCTCTCCACCGTACTCAAACCACTTGGCGCGCGGAACAGGCAGGGTCGTCTGGATGTCACCAATGGAGGGGAAGCCATCGGCGTGAAGAGGGTGGGCTGGCACGCCGTGTCGCTCCAGGTAGTCAAAGCAGTCCCTGGTGGTGGTGAGGGGGTATTGCAGGGGCCAAGGGCCATCACAATACAGCATTAGGCACCACTCATGGAAGGCATACCATCAGAAACCAAGCACCATCACCCCACAGCATCACATTCCAGCATCAAGCAGCCCTCACAACGGGCAGACCTCGGCACCAGCAACACGATAGCAGGTTGTTTTTGAGAATTCTAAAAAGCATACCTGAACTCCCAGTACGCGAGTGGCTGCACCTTCACTGGTGTGCCGTCCTCAAACAGCTGTGTGGGACGATGCATGGCGGGATGGGTGGCAGTGGAGGATGGGGAGGAACACATTAAGGGTGACATGGCATGAAAATCATGGGTCTGCGTTGAATGGATTAAGGAAAGGTGTAAGGTATGATGCATGTGGTATGTCATGCAGAGAATTGTGCACATCATGGTACCATGAGACATGTGGCATGTGACATGCAGCATGTGACATGTGGTATGCGGCATGTGGCATGTGACATGCGGCATGGTCCGCCCTCTCACCTCCAGGTGCGCCCGCTCAGCGCCGTGGTCTCTGCGGCGCCCGTTGATCATGGCATCCACGTTGAGCGACGTCAGCGCGCGGCTGAAGGGCTCCACCTTGCAGATCTGATCGTACTCGTCTATGTCCTGCCAGTGGCGGAGGGGGATGGGGGTGGGTGGGCGTGGGGAATGGGGGTGATGAGGGGGGGCGAGGGGTGGGGGGGGAAGAGGGTGTGTTAAGCGGGGATGAGACACTCCACCTTGCAGGTTTGATCGTACTCGTAAATGTTTTGCGAGGTAAACGGTGGGACGTGGAGGGTAGTAGATGGGTGGTGGGATGAAGGGGGGGATTGAGAAAAGGGGGGTTAAGTAACTAGTGTGCTTGACCATTGCGGTAGGGGAGAGGAGAATTAGAGAGTGCGCAAGGCGTTGGAGGCGTTTGTTTGGATGAAGATTACATTTGAGCCTCAAAACTACTTGTGAGAACTCTCGGCTCCACAACGCTCCTGCGCGGTGAAGAGCAGTGAACCACACACGCGCCACTAAGCCTACCCGAATGAAGAGGCCCGAGCCGTGATTCTTGACGCAATCAAGGTACCGTCGAACGTACATTATAGCCCTTTCGAGATGCCTGGGGGCTTACCAGAATGAAGGGTCGGAGCCGTGTTTCTTGACGTAGTCCTCCTTGGAGTTGAGTCAAACCACCTGAAACACCTCCGCCTTGAACCCAGACCGCTTCTGCGTGGTGAATCTCAGCGAATCACACACGCGCCTCTAAGCTTACCCGGATGAAGAGGTCCGAGCCGTGCTTCTTGACGTACTCAAGGTACCTTGGAGCGTACACCTTACGACTTAAGAGGCACCTCTATGCTTACCCGAATGAAGAGGTCGGAGCCGTGCTTCTTGACGTACTCCTCCTTGGAGTTGAGTCCCACCGCCTGGAATACTTCCGCCTTAAAGCCCAACCGCTCCTGCACCGCGGGGAACAGGGAAACACGGAACGGAAGGTCGGTCAACAAAGCATGCTGGTCGGAATCACATCCTTTTGAATGAAGGGCTTGTTGAAACTGAAATTCCTTACTTAAGCGCTGAGGTTTCCACAAGGCGGCGCTCTTTCAGACAATCACATAATCAATTATTTTAACTTCGGTATTCGTACCTCGCAGTCGTTGAAGACTAATACGTCTCGGGGAAGAGGTGGAACGTGTGCATAAGGTGACCTTGTTCAGAACTCTGGTAGGACTCAGACGCTACGCTACTTTCATTCTGCACCGGGAAACACCGCTCGCAGTCACACTGCACCGCAACGTACCTCGCAGTCCTTGAGAAACTGGTACGTCTCCGGGAAGAGGTGGAACGTGTCGATGAACACGATCTTCACCTTGGGATTGTCGCCCAGCGCGCCGAGCCGGTGCAGCAGGTGGAGAATCACCTACCGGCGACGAGCGGAGGAATAAAACGAAGAGAATATTGATGAGATGAGAGACCATATTACGAGGTAAACGATGAGTACAGGTAGAGAATCAGTTGTTTACTAATTCTTAAAATTCACAAAAACCAACGTTATTAATCTCGATCACGTGCCGATCAGCACTGAAGCACTGGACGTAAATCCTAATCCGTCATGATAATCTCTCCTCAGTGGTATTGTGTGAATGCTTACCACGTCGCCCGCGATAAGCGCGCACGGGAACGTGGGCCGCTCGAAGGAATCGATGGTTTTCTGAAGCGCGTCCAGTGCTTGGCCCTCCAGCTGCTCTTGCCGGACCAGCCGCGCCGCCTTGCTCCATTCCTCCACGTCAGCACTGGTTACCGCCGAAGCTCGAGCCGAACCGGCCGCTGTCCTTCGGAGGGACGTGGTCTGGCGAACGGAATACGATTTCCGACCGATTCTTACGGCGGTTGTGTCGGCTAGAGTCCTTGCCCCGCAAGGGATGAAGGCGCTGGCTTGACGGGAGCTACCAGATTCGCTAAGGCGCGCTCGGCTAAACGACGGCCGTGCAAGAATTACGGGAGACGCGTGCTTCGCAATGGCCGCCATTGCAAACTGACGAGACTAACGAGGGAAGAGGGAGAGTAGACAAGAGAAACAAATATAAATCCTGTCAAGGCAAGGAAAGGGAAGGCCGGGCGACGAGGATCCTCCTGCTCTCCTATTAATATGGAATGACAATCTGGATGATGCGAGCAGTCGCAACGGAGACGTTCACAAGAAATGTCCAGAAACTAAGTAAGACATGAGAAGCGTCTGGTGGTGTGGAGATTATTTTTGAAGGTCAAATTCTCTCGTCTGTGGTAGGGGCGGGTGGGATGCGCAGGAGCCTACGTGACATGTGCTTTCCCACCGCTTTGGAAAGGGCATCTTTTGCGTTCCTGCTTCCGTCGACCTGAAGGCGGTCATTGGTGGATCGCTCCAGCAAGGTCAGATATGCTGCTGGAAATCTGACAAAGGCTGATTTCTCAGGCGATCGACCTTGGGATTTGTGATGACGAGCCCAAACATTGGGGAAGCAGTTTTTGTAATTTCTGCCCACGTGGAACAAAGTGATTCCACGGAAATGCAAGGTTCAAGTCAGCCATTCCCACCTCTCTTGTTTCAATATAGACAACTGCGTTATTAATTTGAGTTCTCTCACATATTCTTCAAGCGAACCCACCTATTTCACTCGCGTCTATTTCATTACTCCCCTCCCAAGCAACCTCACCACCACCCTCGTTCTTGCAAATCCGCATGACACCATCACCTCGACAGCCCTGTTCTTTACAAACACTAGTGATTCCCGTACAATTTTGCTCTCGCCCTTCCCACCGCGTTTTTGTATGAAAAAGATGGAGTTACGTTCGACCTCAGACATGGACGTCGAGGATCGCACCAATCATCACGAGAGCAATTCATATGCGCAGCATCAGCAACCAACCCAGCACCCACACGAGCAACCAGACCTGCACGCTCCACCCTCTTCCATCCCTCCTCAATCCCGAACCTCTCCCGAACCTCCTCCGAACCAATCCTCAAGTCCCCTCCTGCCGATGGCACAACTAACCCAGGACCAGCAGCAGCGACTGGAGCTTTTAGAACTAGAGGAAAAGCGCCTGCAGAACGCAGTCCGGCATCTTATACGCTCCAACGAGGAGCTCCAAGCCGCGGACGTCGCCGAGCCGGATCCAGTGTACCGGGAAGCGCTTATGGAAAACCAGGTGGTTGTCCAGAGTCTCCGAGAGAAAATCGCGTTGCTTCAGGCGGAAATTGCGGAGATAAAGGGAAGGGATTCAGGCATGGAAGTGAGGCGTGGAGAAGTAGGGAGGGGGGATTGTGAGGGAGTGGTCGGGGAGGTGGAGGGTGGTGCTGCTGCTAATTCTGCACCAGCAACTGCCGCAGTAGATGAAACAGAGTTGGATAATGGTTGGCTGTGATATGTCTGCACTGCATCGTTATTACAATGTGTTTTCTCCATGTTGATCAGATGCAAGTATGGCACAGATGCAAATCGTAGTCCAGATTTTACCGAACAGAGTCCGCCGCAGTAGATGGAGAAAAATAACTCGTGCAACGCCCCAAGCAATGGGCTTCAGGGGCATCGTCAACTTACACACCAAAACTCGACTAAACAACTGACAAAAACGAGAAAACACCTCCCAAGAATGTTTTCAACCCTTCATTATCCCCATCTCTATTCCCCCATCATGATCCTCCACAAACCCTCTCCCATTCCCCAAGCCTCCCCCATGCCCGCCGGCCCTACCCTCCCGACCCTCCCAAATTACAGGCAGGCCATGGGCAGGCGACCCAGAATTCACCATCCGGGCAGGTGAAGAACCAGTAGAGCCCAGCCGGGCAGGCGAACCAGACAAATTACCCCGGGCAGGGGAGCCAGACTGCCCATGTCGGGCAGGTGCGGCAGAGGCGGAGGAGGAGTGGGAGGAGGAGCGGAGGGTGGAGGGGATGAGGGTGCGCGTGTCGTCTTCGCTGTCCTCGCTGTCTAGCTGGGTCACGTGCATGTCTGGTGATGCTGGTGACGACCCATTCCAGTCGTGCCGAATCATGTTGGCTAGCTCCTGTGGCGTTGCACTGCAAAGAATGAGGAAGGGGGTGGGAGGGAAGAAGGGAGGGTTACACAGACGATAAACGATTGTGTTTTGCACTGGGAGGTTCTTACATCGTGGAGCAGCATAGAGTGAGGGAGGGGGAGGGGCGTGCAGCGAGCAGCAGAGACGCGGACATGCAAACATGGGGACAAGGAGACACGTCCTATGGCACTGAGGAATAACGGGTGAGCAGGGAACTGGGAGGACGTAGAGCCCAGATTAACAGGCTTACTTTTCTGGCCTGCCATTCATTGCATGCACTCACTGTCCCCCTCCCTCCCCAGCACTCACTGGTCTTGTTTTCTCGTGCACTCCACAAACCACACGAAGGCTGTGAGGGAAGCAAATTACCCCACCATGGCCCACAGGAACCCGTCCACCGTGTAGTCGTCTCCCCCTGTCTCCCCCAGCTCCCCTCCTGTCTCCCCCAGCTCCCCCTCCGTCTCCCCCAGCTTGTCATCAGCGGACCTCCATGCTCTTCCCCTCAGCATTCACTGCCCCCCACCCAGCACTCACTGCTCTTGCCATCTCACCCTCTCAGCATTCACAACATGAAAGGTACAGCCTGCCACTCACTGGTCTTGTTTTCTCGTGCGCTCCACAAACCACACGAAGGCAGCGATGGTGGAACCCCACCCCACCATGGCCCTTTTGAGGCGCCTTAAAAGACAGCACACAATGCCATCTCGTCCCCCCACCACTCACTTTGTTTTCTCGTGCGCTCGACAAACCACACGAATACAGCAATGGTGGCGAACCACCCCACCATGGCCCTCACCGCTCCTCCCATCTCAACCCCCCAGCACTCACTGCCCCCTCCCCCTCACCCCGAAACCCTGCCACTTACTGGTCTTGTTTTCTCGTGCGCTCCACGAACCAAACAACGGCAGCGATGGCGGCAAACCACCCCACCATGGCCCACAGGAACCCCACCTCGGACTCTGCGCATTACAGCCTGCCACTCTCCCACCACTCACTGGTCCTGTTTTCTCGTGCGCTCCACAAACCACACGAAGGCAGCGATGGTGGCGAACCACCCCACCATGGCCCACAGGAAACCGTCCACTGTGTAGTCGTCTCCCCCTGTCTCCCCCAGCTCCATTATTCCCGTCAGCAGCGCCGCTCCTCCTACCAAGAGGGCTCCGCGGCCAAATAATCTGCGGGTAGAACAGGAAAGGCAGAGAGGCATGAAGAATGTTGAATGTGGGAAGATTGGCCCCACGGGAATCCCCCGTGAAATCGTCTCCGCCCGTCTTCCCCAGCTTCATTATTCCCGTCAGCAGCGCCGCTCCTCCTACCAGCAGGGCTCTCCGGCCAAAAAGAATGCTTGTAAAACCAGGGCTGGGAAGAAAAACAAGGAAGGGGAGGGGATGACAGGGGTGGGGAAAAGGGGGAAGCTTAGGTAACCCTTCTTGGATCAGAATGCCATAGAGAGTGCCCAATGTGGGCATTCAGGGAAACACGTCCACCCTGTAGTCATTTGGAGACGTCTCAGAACTCAACTTTTATCACGTGGAAATTCAGGGAAAAACGTCGACCCTGTAGTCATCCCCTCCCGTCCCCCCCAGCTACATTATCCCCGTCAGCAGCTCTGCTCCCCCAACCACCAGCAGTCCCTGGTTAAACAGACTGCAGGTGAAGCGCCTTTGAAGAATGGCATTTATTGGTATCAAGTGCACATAATATGCCTCTCATGTGAGTATGCATACATCTAGGTTACATGGTCTATCCTACACACAAGATACTAGATGAAACGCACTCACATATGTACCCACTGAGAGATGAAACGCACTCACATGTGAACCCACTGCCAGATGAAACGCACTCACATGTGAACCCACAGCCAGATGAAACGCACTCACATGTGTACCCACTGCCAGATGACCCGTTTCATCTGGGGCCTCTCTCCAGGTGATGGTTTGGGAGGGCGGAAGAAGGCATTGAGTGGCTGGAAGCAGCCCAGGGCGAATGTTGCCATTCCAATCTTGGCATGATTGGATGAGAGGTCGATGCTGCGAGACAGGGCGAGTAGGAGAGAGAGGAATAAAGAGGGAAGGAGGGGAAGGGTTGATGAATGTATGTATGTTGATTATTAAAGCAGCAGTATACACTTGGCAGGGCGAGTGCCAAAAGTTTATAAATGGTACATGGTGGAGCCAAAATCGTGAGGCACACTGTAAAACCCTGAACCCCACTGTCAAATGTATACTGCTGCTTTAATACGAAGGACCATTTGGGTAGGGGGAGGTGGGAGGAAGACTGAGGTGGGGGGAATGGGAAGAGGAGCGAGAAACATTGGGTTGCAATTGGAGGATGGGGGCTGATGAGACTGGAAGCAGAAAGTGAATGTGGCGTAAAGAGAGGCAAGCGAATCAAAGAGGGCGATGGGCGCGAGATACTAGAGAATCAAGAAGGTTGAGCAATAACAAGTAAAGGGGTAGGTGGATGAAGGGATACTAGAAGCATACGATATGAGTGCGATGGGATACGGCAAGAGCAAGGGATAAGAGCAACGAGGGCAAGTGGGAGGAGGCAAGGGATAAGGACGCACCCGCCCAGTTCACCGACAGCGAAGAGCAAGCCGAGGAGCATGAGAGCGAGGGCTGAGTACTGCGTGTACTGGTGGATGCTGTTGGGGGGAGTGGGGGTGCAACAGATAGAATGAGGAACGGGGCAGAGGGAGGGACAGCCAAGGAGAATGAGAGCGAGTGCGGAGTATTGCGTGTACCGGTGGATGCTGTTGCGAAAGAGAGGGGGGGAGGGGAAGTGTGGGAGGAGGGAAGGGAGTACAGGGAGGGATAGTGGGGTGGGGCTTGATGTGCCTCAGAGACATGGGCGTCCTCTAGAAAGTTTGAACAAAGCTGAAAAGCAGACTCCAAGGAGCAAGCACGGAATTACGACAGCCAGTCGTTATGCTTGAGGCATCTCGCAGCCAGCACCGCAAAGGGCATGAGAACAGCCCACACCATGGTCATCATGAAGCCATGCACCACAAACTCCCACCGGCTGCAGATGCTCCACCATGCCCTCTCCCACCTCTTGACTGCTGACGACGCGGAAAAAACCCCTAGAGCGGTCAGGAAGCAAGCAGTTACGGTCAGGAAGCAAGCAAGCACTTACGACAGCCAGTCGTTGTGCTTCAAGTATCTCGCTGCCAAGACCCCAAAGGGCATGAGAACAGCCCATGCCATGGTCATCATGAAGCCATGCACCACAAACACCGGCTGCAGATGCTCCACCGTGCCCTCCCCCGTCTCCAGATCCAGGATGGTGACGGTGGTGCTCCACACTGTGTGCATGTTCATGTATGACAGCTTGCCTGGGGGATGGGGCGGAAGATGGGAGACAAGGGGAACGAGGCATGGGGCATGGACCACTTGGGAGTAACAAGGAGAGCAGAGTGTTGTGCTCCACCATACCCTCCCCAGTTTCCAAGTCCAGGATGGTGACGGTGGTGCTCCACACCGTGTGCATGTTCGACGATGGCAGCTTGCCTGGGGGAGGGGTGAGGAAAGGGGCATGACGGACAGGGCACGGGGACGGGGGAGCAGGCACAAGGGAGACTCGATACTCACCCATCCATCCACTGTAAAGACAGCCTTGCTAGCAGTCGCAGTAGGCCCACCCACCTGATGTACAGGAGGGCCCATACGCCCAGATGACTTTGAGGGGCTCTGACAGGTCCAAGCTGACTCACACATAACTTGTGGCCCAATACTCACCCATCCATTCACTGTAAACGGAGACTTGCTAGCAGCAGTCGCACTAGGCCTACCTGACGTCCAAGAAGGCCCGTACGCCCAGATGACCTTGAGGGGCTCTGACGGGTCGATGACACTGCACTTGTCATCGCAGTCCGAATGCGAGGCAGCACCTAGCCCACCCACTCAAAGGCGAGTCAGCACCTGAGGTCCAGGAGCGCCTGTATGCCCAGATGATTTTGAAGGGTGGCTTTTGTAGTCAAACTCAGTAAGACCCACCATCCACGTAGAATAGAGGCATCACTGGGCCCACCTGAGGTCCAAGAAGGCCCGTACGCCCAGATGACCTTGAGGGGCTCTGAGGGGTCGATCACGCTGCACTTGTCGTCGCAGTCCGAATCGGGCGGCTTGAGCGGACGGCTGAACTCAAACGTCAGCACCCCGTCCACCTGTATGCACGCACACAGAGACACATGCACACACACACACATGCACACACAGACACACAGAGGAAGGGAAGCAAGGACACACGCTTCTTTGAATGCGTTCCAACAATTGATCAATTTATCCTGCGCCCACAAACACGCAACACACACAGGGACGGACTCAAGCAAGCAACAAAGCTAGCACACCTGCACTGCACTACGCTCCCCCCCTCCCCCATTCCTCCCCCCCACAATCTGCCGCACCTGCATGCATGTTGTCATGTGGAGAGTCTCCCCCGAGCAATATGCACACTACCAGTCTCTAAAACTCCCCCGAGCAACAAACTCACGAGTAAGAAAACGACCAGCGACCTTGCCGTCAATCCAGTACGACCCCACCCAGCCCTCATCCCGTCCCCTTTCCTCCCTTCCCCCCTCCCTTAGCTGCCCCACCTGAATGCACTTGCTCATGTCAAGAGCCTCCCTGGCAGCATGCACGCTGCTGGCGTCCTTTCCGTCGATCCAGTACGACGCTACCCGCCCCTCGCCGCCCTCCACCCACCCCACATACGCCCACGAGTTCACCATGCCGCTGGGAAGAGGGAGAGAAGGAGAGAATTGAGGGAATAAAGTGATGTGAGTCTGTTCGCCCAGTGCTGCCCTCCACCCACCCCACATACTCCCACGAGTTCACCATGCCGGTAAGGAGAGGGAGGGAGAGGGGGGATGAGTTTTAGAGGAGAGGAGAAGGATTGGGGAGTTTCAGCCAATGCTGCTGCCCTCCACCCACCCCACATACGCCCACGATGCCGCTGGGAGGACGCAGGGGAGGAAGGGGAAGTAGGAGGGGGAGGTGATTGAAACGATTGATTGGTTTGGGTGCAACGGCAACGATGTTGGCATGCCTGGTTTCAGAAACGCCGATCACAAGAGAAGCCTACCTGCCAAAGGCGACCGCAATGTAGCCCGAGGGGCGTTCTCTCTCCCCTCACAGCCACGGATATCGAAGACGCAGTGAGTGTCCAGTCCAGAACATGGTGACGAGCCCGTCTGCGAGCTGCAAGGAAATCAGAAGCTACCAGCTCGCCTCACCTCCCAAAGGCTATGGCGATGTAACCCGAGGGGTGTTCACCCCTAACCGCCACGGATATGGAGGAGGCAGTGAGCGTCCAGAAGAACATGGTAACCAGCCCGCCTGCGAGCTGCAAGCTGTGGCTGTATTTGTGCTTGCAGCCTACCCCCTGGGTCCTGGCACCGCCGTCACAACAGAAGCTTACCTGCCGAAGGCTAACGCAATGTAGCCAGACGGGTGCTCGCCCCTAACCGCCACGGATATTGATGAAGCGGTGAGCGTCCAGAACATGGTGACGAGCCCGTCTGCCAGCTGGAAGCTGTGGTTGTACATGTCTGATAGGCCGCCGTCCACCACATGGATTCGCCACCCCATTTTGGGCTCCGAGTAGCACTGTGGTTCAACAGTGCAGGGCGGACAGTGAAGGGTGGAAAGTGAAGGGCAGAGGGGGGGGGGGATTGAAGGGAAAGAGGATGATCGAGAGTCTAGAACGAGTTGGAGAGTGGAGGTTGAAAGGGGATGGGAGGGGAAGGGAGGAGGGTGGAAGCTGTGGTTGTACTTGTCTTGTCTGATAGGCCGCCGTCCACCACGTGTATTCGCCACCCCATCTTGGGCTCCGAGTAGCACTGAAAGAGGGCGGAGGGGGATAAGAGCAGGAGTCAACACGTTACTGCGATGAAAGGAACAAAATCCCCCTTGCCCCCTCACGGATGTACAGGACACCAGAGATGGAACTAGTGGGCTTCCACAACAGGGTGTGCGGGTCTGCATGCTGGCACCAACACAGGTCCCACCCACCAGCCACTACCAGCCACCCAACCACCCAGTCACTCAGTCACTCAGTCAACCACCCAGTCACTCAGTCACTCAGTCAACCACCCACCCCCCTGATAGTAAACGAGGTCTGGGGTAGAGCTAGTGGGCTTCCACAGCAGGGTGTACGGATCTTCCTACCAGCACCAACACGAATCCTGCCACTACCAGTCACCCAACCCTTCCACCCATCCATCCAAGCACCTACCTGGTAGTAAACGAGGTCCGGTGTAGAACTAGTGGGTTTCCACAGCAGGGTGTAGGGATCCGCCGGCACGCCATGCGCCTCCTCGCCGCCCGCAAATATAATCTCCGATTTGTTAAACCGCCCGCCCACAGGATCCGATGTGATATACACCCCCAGATCGTGCCCAGCTTGTATGGAGAACTGCACCGGCACTCCCCTTTCCACCTTGATCTCCGGCGCCTCGTGCCCGTTCACATAGAAGCTTTTCGTTGACGCTGGCGGGTTGGGATAGTGCGTGCTTTTTCCCGATGTGACTGTAATGAGCGTGCCTCTATCGGCTACGACGATTTTCCCCCATCCGCTCCCCACCACCCCTCCCAACCCATCCTCATCATCATCATCGTTATCATCCCCGTTCCCATCCCCGCTCCCACCAGCCCCTCCCGCTCCTCCTCCTGTTCCTCCGCCCCCTCCGCCTGCATTTCCCACACCAACCGCGGGGTTCAACACACTCTGACAGTCATCAACTGCCAGGTTTAGGGTCAGCACCGCCACCCCAAAAAACGACCCCTGTGGGACCCCATGGTAGGACGGAAAGAGGTGGGCGGGAGGGGTTCGCGCCGCCCCTGCCATTCCCCCTACTACTGAGGGATTGGAAGTGGAAGAGGAGGAGGATGAGGAGGAGGAGGAAGAGGAGGGGGATGGGATGGGCTTTAAGGAGCCAAGGGCCCAGATCACGTTCATCTCGTCTTCTGCGTCGATATCGTGATCAAATCTTTTGTCCGGGCTCACGAGCGGGCGGCGGAAGCGGACGAACGTGATGCCGTCCACGCGGTGGCCGTAGATCAGATCCACGTTGTCGAGAGACGAGTTGCCGCTGCCCAAAAGATGGTCAGGGCACACGCCCTCTGGCGTCTTCTTCTCCAGGTTGCATTCCCCGTATGATGTGATATAGTAATCCTCCACAAACGGTTTCGCCTGGTGAAAGGGGCCCGAGGTTGGATGGGGGAGAGAGAAGGAGGGGTCGTGTGTTATGAGGCATGCCCCCTCTGGTGCCTTTTTCTCCAGACTGCATTCCCCTTACAATGAAATGTATTCATCTTGCACAACAATTTTGTCTGGTGAAGGTCCATGTTCCTCTCCAATTCTCCCCTCACCCCTTCCCCTTTGAACTCACCACTTCATCAAATCCCGCAGTCACCACGTCAGCAAACCCCATAGACTTGGCCATGCTCTCTTAATCGGCCCATCCCAAACTCGTCCCACGCTCACACACACTGCGGTCCACTCCCCTACAACCGCAGTCATCATCTCTTGCTACTCCACCTCACCACCTCTCCACCTCACCACCTCACCACCTCACCACCTCACCACCTCCCATTCTTTCCACACCCAGACCTCCACTCTCTTCCCTTCCTCCATTCCCCTTCCAAAATTTTACCCTCACCCTTTCTACTCACCACTTCATCGAACCCTGCAATCACCACGTCAGCAAACCCCATAAACTTGGTCACACTGTCCGGATCCGCCCATCCAAACCCCAGGTAATGCGGCCCACTCCCCACAACCGCTTCCAACCCCACGTCAACGAACCCTCTCGCCTCGTCCAGCGTCCACCGCACCCTATAACGGTGACTCAGCTGCATGCAGTTGTCAAACATCGTTGGCTGCCTCTGCCCCTGCTTCACCCTCGGCTTCACAGGCGGCGGGGGTGCCGGCAACAGCGGGGGCTGGGGAGGGAGTGCGTACGAGGGTTCTGGCGGGAGGGTGTAACCAGGGGAGGGGGTATCTGGGCCGGGGAGGAGGGGTTTGGACGGCTGAGGAGAGGAGGCTGGGGCGAGGGGGGAAGGGGACGGGGCGGAGGCGGGGGTGGGGGCGGGGGAGGGTGCGGGGGAAGGGGAGGGCGCTGGGGATGGGGCGGGCGGGGGGGCTGGAGGCTCAATGATCTCGAGGGCTATGTGGCCGTAGTCTGAGGCAGTGGTTCGCGACCACACTGAGAGGAGCTTAAAGTCGCTCCACGTCACGTTTGATGCCAGTCGCACCTGGTTAGGGATTCAAGGAAGAGAGATGGAGGAGGACGAGGCAGTGTCAGGAGGTAGGGGGATGACGGTATGAAGACATGATGCATGATGGCATGACCACATGATGGCATGACCGCATGATGACATGACCGCATGATGGCATGACCGCATGATGACATGACCGCATGATGGCATGAATGTTAAGGGGAACTGCCAGCTAACCACGACTGTCTGGCTGTTGAAGGTGCCGAGGAGGGGTTTGGGCGAGGGAAGCTGTGCATCAGGTCGGTGAGGGACGCGGACGCTGCTAGGGGATATTGGTAAGCAGTACTGCCAAATGGTGCTGTTAAGGAGAAAAGGGGAACTGTCAAGGGGCGCTGGTACCAACCACGACTGTCTGGCTGTTGAAGGTGCCGAGGAGGGGCTTGGAGGAGACAGGGAAGCCGTGTAGCAGGTCGTTGAGGGACGCGGACGCTGCCCCCCACCAGTACACGTCCTTCCCTGGCAGCATGTCAAACCGCGTCACCTGCCACGAGGATTCATGCGGGCAGCACACAAGGGGAATGGCATGAATTGCTGGAATGTCTTTGGTCGGACGCTGCTCCCCACCAGTACACGTCCTTCCCCGGCAGCATGTCAAACCGCGTCACCTGCCACGAGGATTCGCGAACGCATCAGGCAGCACAAAGGGCGATAGTATGAAAGCGCACAGCGAGTTAACGGAATCAGCACAGCCAGCAGAGAACAAAAGGTCCTAATTTCACGAAACCCTGATAAGCGGCAAGAATTCGCAATTCAGCAGTGCTCACGCGTCATTGATGCACGAATCTACGGCTGTGCAGGACCAGAACCGTGACACGTGTTATCAAACCTCGAATCCCCGCCGCCAAGCCGTTATACTCCAGCGACAGCGACAGCCCACAGACCTACTGACCTTGAACGAGCAATCGCCTCGAATCTCGACCGTTCGCGGAAGCTGATGCTGCAGCATGCTGAGATGGCAACAAAGCCTGTCCCGTTGAAGCACCTCGTAATCAAATCACTCACCTTGAACGAGCAATCGTCTAGAATCTCGACCGTTCCACGAAGCTGATGCTGCAACATGCTGAGATCCGCGACAAATCCCACCCACTCGCTCTCCTTGCCGCACTGGTACCGCTCCTCCCCGGGTAACATCGCCTCCTCCTCTTGACCCTTCACTGCACGATTCGCTACAAGAACGCTCGTTAAGAGGACAACTGCTAGCACGGATGGAGTCCATTTTGAGTGAGTAGGTGGAATGTGATTGTAACGATGGCGGGTAGGGAGCTTTGTGCGATCTGTCTGCCCGCAGCGGAAATGCCGGGGTTGGTCTTGAGGTCCCCCGCATCGCATGTTAGCTTCGAGCCGCAGCCTACTCGAGGCCCGCAAGTGGCTCCAGCCTAAGGAGCTACTACGCCCTCGTTTTAATCACATCCAGCATAGGCGGACCGGCTTGGAAAAACTACCTACCGACTCGAAAAAAAACACCTAAGCTTTGCCCACAGCCTTGTGAAAGCCCTCAACGTTCGGATTTCTAGACGTGTAAATGAACTGGTCTAACGTATTCGCGTACATTAGCGTTATGGTACTATAGGCACGAGGCTCAGCGACCAAGAATAGTGAATTCTAGCCGTCCCTCTACAGCCGCAACGGCACTTTCGTAACCCTTTTCCAGAGACGTTATTAGGGCTACAGGTACTCTGATCTGTCACGCACTCACGACAGAAATACCCGTCAGGCTACGACGCAACGCGATCAGCATTTAGAGATCGGCCATCGGCACTGGTCGAAGGAGCAGCTCACGAAACGTGCAACGGGATTCAACAAATTCGCTTTCAATTAGAGGAGCAGCTGCTACTGATAGCCACCAGCCAGACAGTAATAATAATATGAGCAATCAATGACCGTCGAGTCGTCGACACGAGCACGCGTTCAAGCCGTAGTATGTGAGGAACCAGATTCACTCTTGGACTGTGATCCTTTCTGGAGGAACCTAAGAAATATTGTCTGTAATAAATTATCTGCTTCGTCACAGAGCATCAAAAGCGAGTGACATTGTCGAAGGGATATGTTCCCAAGGATGTGTCAGCGCGTTGATCCGTGCAGATGCGCGCCATTTTTTGCATTGGTGTCAGGAAGGTCGTTAGATGTAACAGCGGTGTACCGACTAAGCTTGTGTGAGATATCTTTATAGCGGGGTAAGTTTTTCGTGTAACAAATCTGTACATTAAGAAAATTACTTCGTGTAAGATTTTGTTTCTCATTACCCTTACGCTATCTGCTCTAATTATTCTCTACTACTGACTAAAACAAGATACCCTTACTACTACACAAGTATAAATAGTCACCAGAAGCGCCAAAGATACGGAATCATGTGCAGTTATTCACAGTAAATAACTGCATGGATACATTATGCTAGTGCCTTCAATCAAATCACACGAATCCCCAGCACCAACCTGCAGCCAAAACCAGAAATAGAGCAGAGAAAATGAATTCCCACGCAACGTCCCATGGCAACCTCATCAGTGTTGACTGAGCAACCCACATGAGGCCGAAAAGAGCAGGCAAGAATCTCAAGATTCACATGTAATCGCCAAAAAATGGCACTCTCAAGCAACGGAAAATGCATTAAGAGCTTCCTATCAGTTGGCTGAAAAGCTCACTGTTGGCAATCCTTGGACAGGAGAAACAGACCATGAAAGCCATACTCCCGTGGCAGGAATGCCCAAAACACGTTAGAAGATGCATCTATTCTATCGAGGCTCACTCAGGACTTCTTAAAGGTTTAGAAAGGGTACGCATCGGCCCCGAAAGGCCTCATGTACGTGTGATTTCATCACCGTGAGGGTCATTTTGTTACGAACAAATCGTGGTGAAGAGGGTTGAGTAGCTTACCACGGTGAAGAGTTATGCAAACCCTTCAGTCGGCGTTAGTCTTGTGTCAGATACAAGATACAACAGGAAACAAAGAAAGTGCATAGTTAGAAAACGAAAACCCTTGGCTAGCGCCATAAACGGGTGTTAGCAAGGTACATGTGAGTTAGCCTCGGAACGCATACAAGCGCAAACATGGGAACGAGAGGCGAAATGGAAATGCAGACGTCGTGAGAGAAGGTCGTGGCTTGACAAGAAAAGGTTCGGGGCTTTGAAACTGGTAGAATGCAGCATGAAAGACATCGGAATTGTGAGGGACGAGAGCAGCTGTAATATACCACCACTTCGGCTTGCAGCTGGCAGCGAGGAAAGGGGAACACACTATATGGCTCGTTAGAAGCTGGCATGGATAGTTTAGAGTCCCGCCATATGAGTGTTGTACATTTTCAGCTTAAAAACAATGATGAGTAAAATCTGTTTGGTTTGGGGAAGTCGAATTTCTGCAATTGCGGTTTCAATTTCTGCTTTACAAGCTTTCATCCCACAGACATCACGGTTTTCTTCGGTCTGTCGCTCCCAAGAACGGCAACTCGCAAACACCGTGAGGAACCCGGATTAGCCGTATGAGATGCAAATATACCTCTTCCAACTCCAAAAAGAATTATGCCAACCATTGAAATTCCTTCAATAAACTTCTTTCAATGTTCAGCTGCTGTCAGGGATCGATCGCGTGCTGTGGTGTTTCTCCATGACCGCGCCTTGACCAGTGGCTAGTGACCCATTAGGCCTCGTACGTTCTGCATTCACTCCTCTCGCCGCTTGATCTCTGAACCGAACTGCACCGTAACGGCTTATCAGCTTTCCCGGTGAAAAGAAACCGACACTCAGGGAATTGGCACATCAGTCGTGTCAATGTTCGGCGGGGGGACGAGTCGAACGTACGGCGTTAAGTTTCAGGCGAGATGCATCGCGGCGCAAGCCGGCGAGAAGCACCACACGCGGTTCCTGGTCGGCACGCTGAGCCTGCGCGAGGAGAATGAGGTGCTGTGTAGGTGTCGTGACCGTGCTGTGGGATGGGATAGGTGCGACTGCCACGTGTATGAAGAAGTGTTTTGAGACGTCTCAAAACACTTCTTCATACACGGAGAACGAGGTGCTGTGTAGGTGACCTGACGGTGTTGTGGGATGGGATAGGTGCGACTGCCTAGGATGTAACCGAGAAAGATGTCACTGGGATTCTTGAGGCTTCTGAAAGCACCACACGCGGTTCCTGGTCGGCACGCTGAGCCTGCGCGAGGAGAATGAGGTGCTGTGTAGGTGACGGTGGTGGTATCGGATTGCTGAAGGGGATGGGAGTGATGTCACTAGGAAGGATGTAATTGGGATTCTTGCGGCCTCTCAAATCACGACACGTGGATCCTGGTCGGAACGCCGAGCCTGCGCGAGGAGAAAGAGGTGCTGCGTGGAGAGATGTAATTGAGAATGGGGCCACGTGCATCTGATCCAGCTGGCAGACAATGGCTCCTTGGTCACCTGCTGAGGGGCTTTGCCCGCACATGTCGTGTTTGAGAATTCTCAAAAGCTAACCAGACGTCGTAAACTGTCTCGTGTTTTTTCAATCTCCCATTCCACTTCACGCCCCCAGGTGCATCTGATCCAGCTGGCAGACGACGGCTCAGAAGTGACGTGTGAAGGGCTGTACCTGCATCAGCACGAGATCTGGGACCTTGCCACGTGCCCCTTTGACTCAGCACTGCTCTCCACGGTCTACGCCTCCGCTGGCGAATACCATGCCGCCATCTGGCGGATACCGGACAAGGCTTTTTCGTATGGCACTGGCGCTCCCTCCTTGCAGCTGGCCGCGGAACTGAAGGGTCTCGAAGCTCCTGTGAAAAAGCAAGTACCTTTTATCTACTATCTTTTAGAGATCCGTGATTATGCGGCGCAAGGGTCTCGAGCTTCCTGTGGAGAACCAAGGGCTTTCTATCTGTGTTTCTGTCAGCTTTTTCGTGGCATCATATCATCGCCTTTCCTCGTCCCCTGTACCCATTTGCACGATTTAATCACAGCGTGTCGTATTCTGGATCCAGACACAGTGTGTCGTATTCTGGATCCAGACACAGCGTGTCGTATTCTGGATCCAGACACAGCGTGTCGTACTCTGGATCCAGACACAGCGTGTCGTACTCTGGATCCAGACACAGCGTGTCGTACTCTGGATCCAGACACAGCGTGTCGTACTCTGGATCCAGACACAGCGTGTCGTACTCTGGATCCAGACACAGCGTGTCGTACTCTGGATCCAGACACAGCGTGTCGTACTCTGGATCCAGACACAGCGTGTCGTACTCTGGATCCAGACACAGCGTGTCGTACTCTGGATCCAGACACAGCGTGTCGTACTCTGGATCCAGACACAGCGTGTCGTACTCTGGATCCAGACACAGCGTGTCGTACTCTGGATCCAGACACAGCGTGTCGTACTCTGGATCCAGACACAGCGTGTCGTACTCTGCAAAATAATATTCTGTCCTCCTGACACACCACCATCTCCTCCCTGCAGGGTACTATGGTACGGGGGGGACGTGGCGCTGCACAGAGTGATCACCATCGACGAGGAGATCATCTGTGCATGGGACCTCGCCTCCAGTACTCGAGCAGCGCAATTCGCCTCGGTAAGCTGGAAATATTGAATGAAAGCAAACTCGAGTTCTGAGTCGACCGAAAACTCAGTCCTTAACCTGTTTTCTCAAGGAAAAAGGCTTCAAAAAATGTCACTGCGCGAGTGGCAAGCAACAGGCTGCAGAGGCTGCACACGGCCGCATGGGACCCACACAATGTCCTTCCCCCATTCTTCCATTCCCCTTGTGTTCCCATTCTCCTCATTCCTTCTCGTTGATTTGCTCCTTGACCCACTCACCCCCTTCCCTTGACCCAACCCCCTGTGACTCACCCCATCCTCCTATCTTACATTGATTGGCAGGTGAAGCAGCGAGTGACAGGCAGCGGGCTGCAGAGGCTGCATACATACAGGGGCATGGGACCCACCCAACGGCCTTTCCTCTTCACACACTCCTTCCATCCCCCCTCCCAACTTACCCCCTCATCCTATCCCATATCATTCTGTAGGCGAAGCAGCGGGTGACAGGCAGCGGGCTGCAGAGGCTGCATACAGGGGCGTGGGACCCACACAACGCAGACACCATCGCCACCACGGCTGACACGTCCATTGCGTGCTGGGACCTCAGAGCTGCCATGTGAGTAGAGTAGTGTGTGTTCGTCTATCAAGACACCTTTGAACCACTCCCACCACTGCTGATACGAATACTGCCTGCAGGGATGTCAGAGCCGCCATGTGAGTTGCTTGTGTTGTTTGTAGTAGTCCCTCAACGTGTCTCATTGCCACTACCACCACGGCTGGCACCTCCATTGATTGTTGGGACCTTTGAGCCGCCATAGAGGGAGCGCACGTAGACTTCAACCCCAACCACCCGCACATCTGTGACAGCAACATCCGCCGGGTCACCAAAAAAAAAAAAAAAAAAAAAAAAAAGGAGAAAAAGAAAAAAGAAAAACAACAACCTGCTTTGCACTGCTCTCGCCCACCGGTCTCCCCATCCCATCCCTGTCTCCATCCTTGTCAGCAAAACAGCAAGCATAGAGGGAGCGCACCACCTGCAGATAAGAGACATAGACTTCAACCCCAACCACCCGCACATCCTCGCATCAGCCGGGGACGACTCGCGCATTCGCCTGTGGGACCTGCGCTCCACCAAGCAAGCCATTGTGGAGCTTCCGGGGCACTCCCACTGGTAAGTAGCACTAGCACAGCCACTCCCACTGGTAAGTAGCACTAGCACAGCCACTCCCACTGGTAAGTAGCACTAGCACAGCCACTCCCACTGGTAAGTAGCACTAGCACAGCCACTCCCACTGGTAAGTAGCACTAGCACAGCCACTCCCACTGGTAAGTAGCACTAGCACAGCCACTCCCACTTGTATGGTGCCTGCGCCTGTGGGACCTGCGCTCCTCCAAACAAGCCATTGTGGAGCTCCCAGGGCACTCGCATTGGTATGTTCCAGTTTGCTGGGTTCCTTCCCGTTGTGTTGACTTGTGTTGACTTGCGTTGACTTGCGTTGACTTGCGTCAGCTGCACGCCTTTGTTGATATACATTTTCCTTGTACAGTTTGCACTGCCTGCCCTGCACACCGCTGTGCGTCCTCACATCCTAGTTGCTCTATCATTTTCCTCCCATTCCTGCCTGCCTGCTTGCCGTTATCTCTGAGCAGGACTTGCAGCGTTCGCTACAACCGATTCTACGATGAGCTTCTGCTGGTCAGTGCCACTCCTTTGGTGCTCTAATTCTTCTATCTTGTTTCTGCTGATCATTGCACCTCTCTTTCTCTTGTTGCCGCTTCCACCGTCCAACATCCTTTCCGATTCCTTCTATTCTTCCCCTTCGCTCCCCATCAGTTTCCCATTTCTCATCTTCACTCCACCTTCCCTCCACCTTAACTCCACAATCAATGCACCTCACTGGACCTTCACTAAAGCTTCAGTGCTCCATTGTTCCCTCCTCGTTCCTTTAACTCCCCTTATTCATCCTAACAGAGCAGTGGCACCGACTCGGCAGTCAACCTATGGCACGTGCCCTCTGCCTCGGCAGCAGCCGTGGCTGACCATCTGCGTGCCGGACCTAACCCAACAGGCTCGGGAAGAGCAGCGTCAGCAGCAGGGGGGTATCCCAGAGGGGGCGTGGACGAGCTGGCAGTCAGCTTCACAGATTATGAGGACAGTGTATATGGTGGGTGCAGTGCGGTTTTGTAAGGTACCAGGCACGTCTGTCACAATAAGTAACAGCAGGGGGGTATTCCAGAGGGGGAGTCGACGAGCTGGCAGTCAGCTTCACAGACTTTGAAGACAGCGTTTATGGTGGGTGCTGCGAGCAAGGTGTTCTTTAAGTTGTTCGAAATATAGATGAATTCTGAGTTGACTGAAAGCCAATACCTCTTCCAAGGGTGGGCGTGGACGAATTGGCAGTCAGTTTCAGAGTATGAAGACAGCGTTTATGGTGGGTGCTGTGTGGTTCTGTGAGGTACCAGGTAGTCTGTCTGTCACAAGCAGGGTATCCCAGGGGGGCCGTGGATGAGTCGGCAGTCAGTTTCACAGACTACGAGGACAGCTTCTATGGTGGGTGCTGCATGGTTCTCTGAGGTACCAGGAATTCTGTCTGTTGGTGCAGACAGTTTCCACAAAACATGTTTTCTTCTTCTTATTCTTTCCTTCTCTCATTCTATTTAGTCGTGTTAACTACTCATATTTTTCTAGAATCCCTGTTGTTGCGCCCATTGCTGTTACCCGCTTCCTAGGCGTCATGTGGAGCGCCATTGACCCCTGTATGTTTGCCTCTCTGTTGAGACATCTAGAAAATCAACCTAATATGTTCCCTCCCCCCTCCCCCCATCCTCCTCCCTCCCCCACCAGGCGTCACATGGAGCGCCATCGACCCGTGGGTGTTCGCCTCCCTCTCCTATGATGGCCGCGTGAGTCCTGCCCACCCACCAACCACACTCCCCGTTTTCTTTCAGAATCTACCGTAGCACTGCTTATAAAATCTAGTGCTGATTCTAGGATTTATTCTTGAAGCTTCCTGTCCAATAAATGCCGTAGGCTGCGCCAGCCATTGTTTGCAAGGTTCCATTCCAACCACCTGATTCCCCCTTCCACTGGTCCTGGCAGGTGATGGTGGACCTCGTTCCCACTGTTGTTCGCAGCAAATGCCGCCACTGATGCTGCCACTGGTACTGTACCTGCAGTGTACCGTACAGTACAGAATCTGAAGTGGAAACCAACCAATGCTGGAATGCAAGTGCCCAGAGGTGCAGCTGCTGCTGCTACTGATACTGTATAAAACACGCCTCATGTACGTATTTCATTCCGCAACAGTTTTATTTTGTAACTGCCAATTCATCTGGATCCTGAACACAATCTGAAACTCATGTGCTAGCCTGAATACTGTCTGTACAGCTGTGTTGCATAAAATCTTTCTTATAATGAGGTGGATTGATACAACAATCTGGAAAAGTGATGTCATCGTGTGACCCCCATCTGTCTGTCTGTAACTAAAAGACTTGCACAAATTGGATCATCCTCCACAAGCCTTGCTGTGCCTGCAAGCGTAAACAAGCCATAGCAAGTGTGAGGTGAGTGGCTCGCTCATACAGTAAGAACCAATCACTGGCAGTGCAAATGGACGATTCACCAAGACATTAAGTGCAGCAACTGTTAAATATATAACTTCATATTTCAACCCGCGTGGTAAGGCAGACCTGAGATTGGAAATAAGACTCACCACGACCAATGAGCTGTTTGTTGCTGCGCTGCACGTCAGGCATGTCAACACCGGTGGTGCTGCTTCTCCTGCTCGTTGTACCACTGCACGTACCTGCATTCACGCAGCAGCGAGTGACGAGTGAGGTAGTATGGAATGGGGGTGAGTTAGGTACATTAGGAGTGAGAATGATATAAATTGAACTAGATGTGAGATACTATAGACAGGGGTGAGAGCAGAGACGAGGGTTGGAGGTATATAAAAAGGAAGACCTAGGCGTTGAAGGGCGCGTTGGCATTGCAACGTAAGGATTGCGAAAGTGGGGGGTTGGGTCAAACGAACACAGGAGCAAGAGCAAGATGGAAGCGGGGTCAAGGATTCATAGAGCCGGACGACGGAAGCGAAAGGCGTTGGGGATCTAGAGAAACGACAAGGACCCCGAAAGGGCTCGAATCGTGGAACGGAGGAGAGAGCGACATCGGTAAAGAATAAGCGGAAGGAACAAGCGACGCAACTTCTGATCGCGAAGAGCATAAGTAGAAGCACGGCCACTGGTAGGAAAGGAACCGAAGTGGTGGCGATCGCAGCGACGAACTCGCATCCAAAAGTGGTTCTAGAGGCGGTGTTTTAGTCGACGAAAGTGCGATCTAATATGGCGTACCAGTAGGTTCCTGCGATGGGTCCGACGCAGGTAGCTGCGTCAAGCCAGTTGTTCTTGATCTTCTTGACCCACTCCTTGCCCATGTCCTTCCACAGCCCCGGCATGATCTTCTGCTCGAACGGCGACAGCGCGTATGTCACCTCCTTGAGACGCACGGGCACCCTCCCCATGGCTGCGTCGGCTCTAAACGGCTTCGCGACGCGGACTAGGCGAGGATCTGACAAAATGACAGACGTAGGGAGAGAAGTAACGCGCAGTGGTGGAAGCAGGGGAGTGGAGCAGATCGACGGAAAGTGTGCTGTGCAGGCGGAAAATAAGCAGACAATCCGCAAGACCGTATGAATGATTCGCACTTTAAGAAATGCGAATCAAAAGAAATGTTAAATATTTAATCAGAGATGCTCATAACAGGAATACCACCTTGAGTGCTCTCATTGGCCACCTTCCGTGGCCAGCACCTGGGGGGATCGTTGGGTGTCGCGAAGTGTGGGATGGGGTGGGGTGTCGGGGAAATGGGGTTGAATGGTATGGCGCACAAGTTCCGCCACCTTTCCCGCTGGAGCAGACCCGCTCGCCGGCCATTTACGCTCCACCAACCAGGGAAGCAGTCCCATCACACGCGCGGACCCACCTCGCCCACCAACCAGCCAGCGCGCGCCACAAACCCGACCACCTTGGGATCTCCTTTCCGCCTGAACCCCACTTGTCGCATCATTTCTTACCGCCTGCGCCTCATCTGCGCCGCTGGCTGCAAATCCGCCCGCCCGCCACCCTCGGAATTATCTGTCATCCTCTCGCTCCCACCCACCCACCGCTCCACCCTTCGACTCCTCAATTTCACCAATTTTCCCTTTCTTCCTCACTGCAGTTCAGGCTTTCTTGGAACTGCATTTCTCGCATCTCTGAGCAGCAGTCAAGTACTCGTGTTGTTCCTCGCGTCTGGTCAGAACACGTCGACTGGTCACCTCGCCAGACCAGTTCCGCGTGAAAAGGCAGCCGCCGATTGGTAAACTAACTGCTTGAAGAAATCAAGCTGCTTCGATTGTAAATGCCTGCATTGCTCGGTTTCCTGACATGATCACGTGATTCCCAACCAATGGCGTCCACTGCTCTTGCCAGCGCCGCTCGCGGGCGACGCAACGCCAAAGCTGACGGGTTCCAGTGGGACAACCCCGGCGAAGAGCCAGTTTCCCCGAGCTCCCCCTCTCGCCGCCCTTCGTTCCTCCGCCTTTCCACCACCTCGACGATCCTCCTCCTCTCCGCGATCTTCGTCGCCGCTCTCCTTTTCATCGGCTTCCGTAATTTCCGCGTCGAGGCCCCCGCGCCGCGCTCCAGCGCGTCGTTAGGCTCCTTAGACGGCGATTACGGAACCGGCGACGATGACGGTTACGGCACAACCAACGCGGCAGGTTCCACGTGGCCGACCGGCAGCAAGTCGTCAAAACTGACGGCCACCGGAACGGGGGTTTCAGGATCGTTCGGGTCTACCGGCTTGACGGAAAACGTCGGAAAAAAAACGTCGTGGGACGAAATGTCGGAGGATGAGGATGACTTAGGAACCACCACTGGCTCTAGCTGGCTGAGCAGGAGTAGCTCCGCAATCGGCGGCGGGTTTGGCGGCGGACTTGGCGCTTCGTCGAGCTGGAAGAAGGGGGTTGCAGGCAGGGGAAGCAGCGGGAACTCGTGGGGTGGCGGTGGCGCGGATACGATGGATGATGACGTGGACACGTTCTCGAGCAGCGCGAAAACCGCGGGAAGGTTTGGCGGCGGCGCGATGGGCGATTTGGGTATGGGAGACGATGATGACGATGGGGGTGCGTTGTATCCGAAAGAGAAAGGCAGAGCGAGGCCAGGAGACCGGGAGACCGGGAGGGGTATGGAGCTCGAAGGGTATTCTAAAAGCACTGCTGCTGGTTTTGGGAAAGGCACGGCGGGGTATGGTAAAGGGACAACAGGGTATGGTAAGAGCGGACGAGGCGGAATCGCTTCGACGCGGAAAGGCGGTCGTGGTGATGATGACGATGACGCGGATGAGGAGGAGGATGACGTGGACGAGGAGGATGCTAGGAGCAGCAGAAAGAAGGGGAGGAAGGGGAAGAAAGCGAAGAGGAGTAAGAAGAAGATCGGGAAAAAGACTAAAACGAGGGGAAAGACCAAGAAGACAACCAAGCGCAAATCACGCAAATACGGTAAAAAGAGCGGCGGCAATAGCGGCGATTCGGACTGGGAAGACGACGAGAGGCCGTTCAGTCCCCTGGGAAAATGGGGACGGAAGAAGAAGAGCCGACGGAGCAAGGCAGCAGAGGAAGAGGAGGAAGACGACGACGATGACAGGGGCAGCAGCAGCAGATATGGCAGTTCAGGTGGTTCTGGTTACTCGAAGAAGCGGTCTCGGGGAGTGGGGGGCTACAACGGGGACGCAGATACCTCCGCGTCGTACAGACAGGGCGCGGATCGCATGGGGGGAAGCCGCGGGGAGCGCGGAGGGCGCGGTGGGCGCGGGTTTGACAAGGGGGGAGGTGACCCGCTGGACCAGGCTTGGGATGACCTGGGGGGCGGACGAGGAGGGCGGGGAGGGCGCGGGTTTGGCCGGGGAGAAGATGACGCGGAGACGGAGATGGGGGGAGGCGGAGGCGTGGGCGCGCGGCAGCAGCGGCAGGCGAGCGGACGAGGGGGATACGGTGGGAAATTAGGACAGCGGAGTGCTGACGTGGATGACTACGGCGACGGCGGGAGGACCACAAGTGGGTGAGTGTGAATGAGTGAACGGTGGGGGTACCGGCGTTTCTACTAGAAAGGGGCTTGGGATGTTGTGTGCTGATGGTTTGACTGGTTCTTAGTTTGGAATGTGATGTTTCCGTGGTTTGGGTTGCCATGGGGAGCGTGACACAACCGAAAGCAAACCTGCTGAGAAGGCAAAGAGAGGAAGTATAGAAGGCAAAGAGAAGGAAAAGGCATGACGAAAATGCTCAGGCAGGAATAGCCTGTGAGCTTCTGTAGGTTCTCTGACATGAATGGCTTGTCTCTGACATGAATGGCTGTGTCTCGGACATGAATGGCTGTGTCTCTGACATGAATGGCTGTGTCTCTGACATGAATGGCTGTGTCTTTGACAAGTAGACTTCATATTTTTCTTCTCCTGTTTGCCTCCTCCCTTCCAGCAGCAAGTGGGCGCGAGGGGGGGGCGCGGACAGTGACGCGGAGGACACGTGGCAAAGCGGAGGCAGGGGCGGGGGAAGGGGAGGGTGGGCGGGGGGAGCGGCGCAGCAGCAGCAGCAGCAGCCGCGGGGGATGGGGTGGGGAGGGGCAGATGCGGGGAGCAACAGACTAGGAGGCAATGGGGGCGTGGGAGGGATGGGCAGGATGGGAGCGGGAGCTGGGGGAGGGAGAGGAACAGGTGGGATGACTGGGGTGAATGACAATGATGAGGATGCTTACAGCGGAGCAGGGGGAGGAGCAGCAGGGGGGGTAGCGGGGGGAGTAGCAGAGGGAGCTGCAGGGGGAGGCAGGGGGTTTCGGGGAGGCGTGGGGGGAGCAGCAGCTGCGTTTGGGGGAAGAGGCCAGAGCAGTGCTGGTGGCTTTGTGGGGGAGAGTCGAGGGGGTGCAAGGGGAGGAAGGGGAGGAATGGGAGGTGGCTTTGGAGGGGGGTTGGGGCAAGGAGCGGATTTAGAAGGGGAGGATGACATGGGTATGGGTACAGGCGCTGCTGCTGGGGGTGGTGCAGGCAGCACTATGGGTAACATGGGCGGAATGGGCGCAGGGGGACTTCCTGCAAGGGGGAGAAGCAGGCTAGGGGCCACGAGGGCTGGGTTTGGCGGAATGGGAAGCATGGGGGGCGTGGGGGGAGTGGGGGGAGTGGGAATGATGGGAGGGAGTGCAGGCATGGGTGCAGGGATGGTGGGAGGGGCTGAAACGGATGAGGACTATGGACAGAGTGGTGGAGGTGGGTTGGGAGGAGTGGCAAGGGGAACTGCAGGGGCAACAGCAGCAACCCGAGGGGCATTCCGGGGTGCTGCAGGGGCAGCAGCGGCAGGAAGAATGGGCGCAGGCGGAATGGGCGCTGGGGGGCTGGGTGGGGAAGATGAGATGGGTGGGGCAGATGAGGAGGGAGGGATGGCAGGCACGGTTGTTGCTGGGGGGGGCGGGGTGAGGGGTGGGAGGATGGCTGGTGGTATGGTTGGCGGTATGGCTGGTGGCGTGGGCGGTGGTGTGGCTGGCCGTTTGGGAGGCAGGTCTGGGAGCCTCTGGCAGCAGCAGCAGACGCAGCAGCAGCAGAGGGGGCAGGCAGGTGGAGTGGGAGGAGGGGGGATGTTCGGAGGGAGAGCAGGTCAGCAGCAGCAAGGTGTGGATGGGGTTGATGATTACTCTGCTGGCGCTGCTGCTGCTGCTGGTGCTGCTGGCGCTGGTGGCGTTGGTGGCGCTGGTCGTCTTGCTGGTGCAGCTGCTGCCACAGATGATTACAGCGAAGGGGTAGCAGCTGATTCCGGCACTGGCTTGAGCGGCACCACCAGCAGCAGCAGTGGCGCGAGTGGGGTGTTTGGAGCAAGAAGCAGAGCCGGAAGCAGCAGCTCTGGCACCGCCAGCAGCAGCATCAGCAGGCGAGGCGGTGTGACAACAGCAGATCCGTACGGGGAGGAGGGGGAGGGCACAGGCGGAAAGGCAACAGGAGACGCCTCAGCAGGGGATGCTTTAGGCATGGACGGTGGGGGTGGCGTGGAAAGTATGGGCGATGCAGAGAGTGAGGGGTTGGGAGAGGAGGTGGATGAGGATGGAGGAGTGGGGTCCGGAAAGGCTGTGGTTGGGTCCAAGGCAGGGAAGAGCGAGGGGGGGGATAGCTCCTCCTCTTCCTCTTCCACTTCCTCTGGTGGAGGTGGTGGTCTGTTTGGCTTTGTCTCTCGCATGTTCGGTGGCGGTGGGAGCACTAAAGCGGCCGGAAAGGCGGCAGAAGATGGGGCAGGGGAGGGGGAAGAGGTGGAGGGATTTGAGGCGGGGAAGAGCACGGCTCAGTCAGCAGTGGAAGATGCACTGAGAAGCACTGAGGCGGAGGGCGTAACTGGGGGAGGCTTATCCAGGAGCAGGTTCGGCAGCAACAGTGGAGGGAAGGGTGGGGAGGATGACTATGGGTCATCTTCTGCTGCTTCTAGTAATGCTGATGCTGGTGATGGTGACGGTGCTGATGCTGATGCTGGTGATGGTGATGATGCTGATGCGGACGTTGCAGTGGCGACAGCAAAAGGTTTCAACAAACCCCGGTTTGCCCGGGGTGCTGCTGGTGCTGCTGCTGGTTCTGGTGCTGCTGGTATGGGAGGATTGGGTGAGGATGATGATGATTCAGAAGCTGCCACTACGCTTGGTGTTCCAACTGGGGGTAACAGCGCTGATGCTACAGACTCTCCTGATGCTTCTGATGTGGACGATTCTGATTCGCCTGCTGCAGCTGGGCTTGGTGCTGCTAGTGCCTTTGGAGGGTCAGGAGGAGCAGGGAAGGCCAGCCGGCTCAGTGGGAGATTCAGTGGGCGGTTGAGCGGTGCAAGTGGTGTGACAGGGAAAGCTGGTAGGCTGAATGCGAGAGGAACAGGAGGGAAATCAGGTGCATTTGGATTTGACCCATTGGGATTGGAGGGATCTGAATCAGCTGCTGGGGGAGTTGGTGGTGGTGGTGGTGATGGGGGACTGGGAGGGGAGGGTGGTGATGAGGATGGGACTGGAGAAGGGATGACGACCATCCGGGCTACTAAGAATGCGTTTTGGGGTAAAAGGCGGGCGAATGTGGGTAGTGGTACGAGCTTGGGGTCAACCCCGGGTGTGGGGCTCGGAGGAACTGGTCGGGCTGGCCGGGCAAGAAAGACAAGAGTGGGAGGGATGGCATCACTAGGAAGAGCACAGGTGAAGGCCCAACAAGATGATGATGACGAGCTGTCGCTTTGAGTTGAGGGATGGTAGTTTGGCTACAAAGTGGATGGGTTGGAACAGTAGTGGTGCAGTAAAAATATTACTTCATGTGCCAGTAGTAAGATATATTTATTGCTATAGCGGTTTACCAGCTGTTACTGTTATGATAGGTTGGAATTATGACCATTTTACAATGAGTGTTGCTGGTTCCACTATTGGGAGCTCCGCGCGAGAATTGAGTTTTCGAGGAGCCAGGCGGGCAATTCCCGCAATTCTCCCCTCTGCGCATCTCTTTCGCTTCCCCCTCTGCCACTTTTTCCCGCCTTCCCTTCCGCCAGCCTTTCAGGGTTGCTTGGGTCCGCGTGTCATAGCTTCCCTTCAGGTGGTAGTTAAATCCATTCCCGCCAGCTCCGCTGCGTTTCCTGCAGCCGCGCTTGGGCGTCAGGGCGTCTACGGGCTGCTGTTTTTGCGCTGCCTTCCGTCGCGCCCATCCATCTGTTCCTCTCGCGCGTTGGTTTCTCCTCCTTAGTGCACGATACATATCACACGCACGGCAATCACCCATTCTGTGCGGAATCTTTACGTCTGTAACCATGTATCGCGTTGCCAAGGCATCGTCCGCGCGCCGTGCGTCGCAGATCCTCTCCCGCTCCTTCACTCACTCCCCCCGATCCACCACGTCCGCCGCCCACTCCGCTCCAGCCCTCCGCCTTTCCGCCAATGACTCCCCCGCCGCTCCGCTTTCTCTCCTCCGCACGATCACCTCCGCCGCGTCCCTGCTGAAACCCGCGCCTTCCCCCACCGCGTCCGCCGGCGCCCCCGCGGCCGCTGCGCAGTCGACGGCGGAACCCGCTGCTCCGCCGCCTCCCCCGCCGGATCACATCGAAGTGTTCGTCGATGGGAAGGGGCTGCACGTTCCCAAGGGCTCCACGGTCCTGCAGGTCAGACTTAAGCGTTTCAATAGATTCCTTCGAGTCGCATCTCCTTCGCTTCCTCGCTCTCGCTCCCTCTCTCCCTCGTTCCTTCGCTCCCTCGCTCCCCTGCCGCATCATATCGAAGCGTTCGTGGATGGGAAGGGGTTTCACATTCCAAAAAGCTCGACCGTTTTGTAGGTGAGCGTTGCGTGCGAGTAAGGTGGTAAGGTAAGAGTAAAGGCCTGGAAGTAAAGGCCTAGATGTATCTCCCTCGCTCTCTCCCTCCCCTACCGTTGGATCCCCCGCTGGTACCCCCGGATCGCTGAATCCATGCATTAAAATCTGGACTGGTGATGGTTTCTCATTTTTAAGAATCTTAACTTGTCCGCGAGCCTCCGTCCCCACAGGTCTGAGACGCAGCCGCCATCGACTTCCCGCGCTTCTGCTGCTACCACCCACGCATGCCCATCAGCCCCCCCCCCTCTCCCCGGGTGTTTCTCCCCCTCCTCCGGTGTTTCTCTCCCTCCCTTTCCCGCTTCCCCACCCTCCCCACCCCTTCTCCCCACCCTTCTTACGTCCCGCTTTCCCACCCGCCGCCGTCCCCCTTCCCCCATCCTGCCAGGCGTGCGACGCAGCGGGCATCGACATTCCGCGCTTCTGTTACCACCCGCGGCTGTCCATCGCGGGCAACTGCCGCATGTGCCTCGTCGAGATCGAGAAGGCGCCCAAACCCGTCGCGTCCTGCGCCATGCCCACCATGCCGGGCATGAAAATCAAAACCACCACGCCGCTTGTCAAAAAGGCGCGCGAGGGAGTCATGGAGTTTCTCCTCCTCAACCACCCGCTCGACTGCCCGATCTGCGATCAAGGCGGCGAGTGCGACTTGCAGGATCAGTCCATGGAGTTTGGGAGCGATCGGGGTCGGTTTTACGGATTTAAGCGGAGTGTAGAGGATAAGAACTTTGGTCCGCTCGTGAAAACGGTCATGACGCGCTGCATCCACTGCACGCGCTGCGTGCGATTCGCGAAGGAGGTCGCGGGGGTGGAGGACCTCGGGATTACCGGGCGCGGGCGCGACTCGGAGATCGGAACATACGTGGAACGCATGCTCACGAGCGAACTTTCCGGGAACGTGATCGACCTGTGTCCGGTCGGCGCGCTGACGTCGAAGCCGTTCGCGTTCACGGCGCGGTCGTGGGAGCTGAAGGGGACGGAATCCGTCGACGTGTCAGACGCGATCGGCGCGAGTATCCGTGTGGATAGCCGCGGGGGGGAGGTGATGCGGATCCTTCCGCGCTTGAACGAGGGGGTGAACGAAGAGTGGCTGACGGATAAGGGAAGGTTCGCGTACGACGGGTTGAAGCGCCAGCGGCTTTTTGCCCCCATGGTTCGCAGCGCGATCACCGGCCAATTAGAGGTCGCCAGCTGGCCCGAGGCGCTGGAAGCGGCGGCGAAGGCGCTGGTGGGAGTTAAGGGGGAGGAGGTGCAGGCGGTGGCGGGGCGGCTCGCGGACGCCGAGGCGCTAATCGCTCTTAAAGACCTAATGAACCGGCTCGGGTGTGATAATCTCCGCCCGGACGACGGGGATTGGGTGGCGGGAGGCGCGGCGAACGCGGATCTGCGGTCGTCCTACGTGGCAAACACGGGATTGGCCGGCTTGGAGGACGCTGACGTGGTGCTGCTGATCGGGACAGACCCGCGCAGCGAAGCGCCGCTCCTGAATCACCGCTTGAGGAAGGCTGTGATTGGCCGACGCGCGAAAGTTGCCAACATAGGCCTTCCCCTGGATCTTACCTTCCCCACTGAGGGTTTAGGGGAGGGGGCGGACGTGCTAGTGAGGGTGGCGGAGGGGAAGCATCCGTTCTGTGGGGTGCTGGCGGGGGCGAAGCAGCCGGCTGTGGTGGTAGGCGCGGGGGTGATGAGGCGCGCCGATAGGGAGGCTGTGATGGCTGCCGTGCAGACGATTGTAGCGAATGTGAGTGTAACGAGGGGTGACTGTGGGGGGTGTGGGTGTAACGCGAGGTTACTGTGGGGATGTGGGTGTCAGGAGGGTGGGAGGAGAGAGTGATGGAAAGAGGGGATGGGGGTGTTGGCGGGGGTGGCAGGGTGCTGTCAGGGAATGGCTGGCAGGGTGCATGGGGGGAATGACAGGGTGCATGGGGGGAATGACAGGGTGCATGGGGGGAATGACAGGGTGCATGGGGGGAATGACAGGGTGCATGGGGGGAATGACAGGGTGCATGGGGGGAATGACAGGGTGCATGGGGGAATGGAAGGGTGCATGGAGGGATGCTGTGCTGTTACCCGTCTCTCTGTGGGCCATCATCCATCCCCTCGCCACTCCCCCATGCTCTCCAGTTTAGAGACGTCTCAAAACCCAATTCTCTCTTCCTGCATATTCCCTTCCCTTCCGCGCCCTCCCCGCCTGCTGCCCTGCGCCCGCCGCTCCGCCCAACCCAATGTCCTCCCCGCTTGCGCATATTCTGCCGAATATGCAAGCATATTTTGCGCCCTCCCGTCCGCCCATGTCCTCCATTTTCCTCATGCATTCTCCTCTGGCGCATGGCTGTGTCATACCCGTGCGAGCAGGCGGGGGTGGTGAGGGAGGGCTGGAACAGCTACAACGTGCAGCACCTCTCTGCCGGCCGTGTGGCCTCTCTGGACGTTCCAAATCCCATAATCTCTTGCCACATCCCCCCTCCGCTCCTGCCGCCCTCTCCCCGCCTGCCCGCCCCTCCCCGCCTGCCGCCCCCTTCCTGCATGCTGCCCCCTCCCTCTTGCGCGTATGTTGCCATAGCAGGCGGGGGTGGTGAGGGACGGCTGGAACGGATACAACATGCTGCACCTCTCTGCCGGCCGCGTGGCCTCTCTGGACGTCGGCTTTGTGCCCGGGCCTAAAGCTGCCGTCTCCCGGTGAGTGTGTCTGTGTGTGTGCTTGAATCTGATCCTTCCCTCTCTGCTTGAGCCTTGAGTGTGAGTGCCCACCTCTCAGCTGGCCGCGTGGCCTCTCTGGACGTTGGCTTCATGCCTGGCCCTCAAGCTGCTCTCTCCCGGTGAGTGACCCTGTGTGGCCCGGACTCTTCTTGAGTGTGGTGGGTGCCAACGTGCTGCACCTCTCAGCCGGCCGCGTGGCCTCTCTGGACGTTGGCTTCGTGCCCGGCCCTCAAGCTGCTCTCTCCCGGTGAGTGTGTGTGTCCTCGTCTCTAACGTCCCCCCCCCGTCTGGTTGAGTGTGCGAGTTAACGAAAATTGCAGCCAGTTCTCCCGCTCTCCCTCTACCCACTCTCCCTCTACCCACTCTCCCTCTACCCACTCTCCCTCTACCCACTCTCCCTCTACCCACTCTCCCTCCACCCACTCTCCCTCCACCCACTCTCCCTCTACCCACTCTCCCTCTACCCACTCTCCCTCTACCCACTCTCCCTCTACCCACTCTCCCTCGACCCACTCTCCCTCGACCCACTCTCCCTCTACCCACTCTCCCTCTACCCACTCTCCCTCTACCCGCTCTCCCTCAACCCGCTCTCCCTCTACCCGCTCTCCCTCTACCCGCTCTCCCTCTACCCTCTCTCCCTCTACCCGCTCTCCCTCTACCCGCTCTCCCTCTACCCGCTCTCCCTCTACCCGCTCTCCCTCTACCCGCTCTCCCTCTACCCGCTCTCCCTCTACCCGCTCTCCCTCTACCCGCTCTCCCTCTACCCGCTCTCCCTCTACCCGCTCTCCCTCTACCCGCTCTCCCTCTACCCGCTCTCCCTCTACCCGCTCTCCCTCTACCCGCTCTCCCTCTACCCACTCTCCCTCTACCCACTCTCCCTCTACCCACTCTCCCTCTACCCACTCTCCCTCCACCCACTCTCCCTCCACCCACTCTCCCTCTACCCACTCTCCCTCCACCCACTCTCCCTCCACCCACTCTCCCTCTACCCACTCTCCCTCTACCCACTCTCCCTCTACCCACTCTCCCTCTACCCACTCTCCCTCTACCCACCCTCCCTCTTCCCACTCTCCCTCTACCCACTCTCCCTCTACCCGCTCTCCCTCTACCCGCTCTCCCTCTACCCGCTCTCCCTCTACCCGCTCTCCCTCTACCCGCTCTCCCTCTACCCGCTCTCCCTCTACCCAC